CTTTTTAAATATTAGAAGAAAAAAAATATAATTAATCAATTAATTAGAAGGAAAAAATGAAGAAAAAATAAGATTAATAAATAATTAATTAAATTAACAACAAAACAAAAAAAAGCAAGCGAGAACAATAAAAAGAAAATAAATCGAATAAATTAAAAGACCTTTAATTTTTAAATAAAATTTTTTTATTGAAATATTACAATTAAACTATTTTTATCAAGTGTAAGTGTTAATAGCAAAAAATGAAGAAAAAATATCAAATAATAAAAAGATGAATAATAAATAATTAAAAATTAAAATGAAAATTTAGTTAAAATAGTTAAAAAATTTTTGTTTTAATAAAATCAATGAATAATAAAGAGAATTTGTATTAGAAAAATTAATTTTTTAAATAAATTCAAAGTCAAATATATAAATAATTTCTTTATAATATTTATAAATTAAATATACGTCATATCAATATGGAGAACCTAATGAGATTAAAGTGTAGAATTTAAAAACTTTTTTTGTTAATAATAATAAATTTAAAGGTTATTAATAAAAAAATAAATAATTACTTCTTCTAGTTTGTAATATTCTTTAATCTATTATATCATTTATTTTTTTTTTCAAAAATATTGAATTGCAATTTATGTAATTTAATTAATTACAAATGTATAAAAAGAACAAACAAAATATAATAATTATCAAATATTAATCAATAAATTTGCTTTTACCAAGAAATATCATAAAAAATTAATTTAACATTAATTTTTTAATCTTAATATTTGTTTTTAAACCTATACTTAAAAATGTAGTAGAAATTAGAGATGGGGAGTTAGTCATATTTGAAAAAATTCTAGTAATTAATTAATTAATTAATATTCTTAAAAATTATAAAATAATATTTTTTATTAGATTGTTCTGTTTTATCCAAGTAATGATGGGAATATTTCTAAAGCTGTTCCATGATTTGAAATTTAGTTGATTGTAGGTTCTAAATCAGCTGAATTTCAATAATTATTAAAATAAAAATATTTTATATGTAGTTTCCTTCTTCTTTATGAAAGAATATATACATCAGATAGAAATGATTAATTATTTATTATCATTGATTAAAAAACAAAAAATATTTTTTTTAATCTTTTTTCTGATATATTCTGATTAAATCTAAAAAAAAAAAATATATATATATAGCAAGATGCCATTCATAAATTCCATCTTTTGTATCTCACTTGTTATGAAATAGATTTTTTATTTATCCAAAAAAATTAAAATAAAAAGTAAAATTTAATTTATCCCTGAGATTTTATTTAAATCATGGTATCTAATTAATTAATCGTGAAAAATAAAAAAAGGATAGAAATATGATTGATGAATAATATTTAAGATTAAAATATAACTGGTATATAAAAGCTTAGCATTTATATAATTTAATAAGATTTAATATAACACTAAAATTTTCAAATTATTTGATCGTTTTTGGAGAAACAAGGTCAAATTACTTTAGAGGATTTAATTTATTTAAGTAAATTTAATTTTTAAATTTTTTTATTTTTTATAAATAATTTATTTACTTACAAAAATGAATGATATTTATAAAAAAAAATTAATAATAAAATCTATTTATCTATCTATTTATATTTTAGGTTAAAAACACTTTTACAAAATATTAAATAATAAAATATATAATATTATACAAACATTTTATATTTATTCATCATTTTATCACCAGTTAATTGTTTACATAATGAAATTAAAGACAACTAATCTTTTTGATTTAAGATACTTGTTTAATACTTTGATTTTTTATGATTCATTCATTAAGCTTTAACTTTTATAATTAATTTGTATAAGTTTTAAATAAATTTCAAAATAGAATAAACTTTTAAATTTAAAAATTATTCTTGAAATTAATAAATAAAATAATATTAGTGGAATAAAAAAGATAAAAAAATAAATAAAAGCTATCAAATAAATTCAAAGAGCTTTATTGTTTTTGATTAGTTTTTTGAATTTAAAATATCACAATCCAAAACAAATAAACTGTTTTTACCCAAAGAAAACTGTCAAATTTGAGAGATTAATGCAATTTGCTAAACCAGAACCTAAGCCTGATGCACCCATTGCATCAATTTAATTGTCACTTTTTAAATATTGAAAAAATATATCATTAAATAGTTAATTAGAAGGAAAAAATGAAGAAAAAATATGAAATAATAAGATCAATTAATTAATCATAAAAGCAAAAATTGAAAATAAATGATGAGTTAAATTCACAAAAAAACAACAACAAAAAGCAAGTACAATAAAAAGAAAAGAAAAATTAGCTTTATTGTTTTTAATTAGTTTTTTGAATTTAAAATATCACAATCCAAAAAAATAAACTTTTTTTACTCTAGACTAAGTGTCAAATTTGAGAGATTAATGCAATTTGCAAAAGCAGAACCTATGCCTGATGCACCTTCATCACCAATTTAATTGTAACTTTTTAAATATTTAAGAAAAAATATGTATCAAATAGTTGATTAGAAGGAAAAAATGAAGAAAAAATATGAAATAATAAGATTAATTAATTAATAACAATAGCAAAAGTTGAAAATAAATGATGAGTTAAATTAACAAATAAAAAACAAAAAAAAGCAAGCACAATAAAAAGAAAAAAAAAATGAGATTTATTGTTTTTAATTAGTTTTTTGAATTTAAAATATCGCAATCCAAAAAAATAAACTTTTTTTACTATAGATTAAGTGTCAAATTTAAGAGATTAATGCAATTTGCTAAAGCAGAACCTAAGCCTGATGCACCTATTGCACCAATTTTATTGTAACTTTTTAAATATTGAAGAAAAAATATATCATTAAATAGTTAAATAGAAGGAAAAATGAAGAAAAAATATGAAATAATAAGATTAATTAATTAATAATAAAAGCAAAAGTTGAAAATAAATGATGAGCTAAATTATCAAAGAAAGAACAAAAAAAAGCAAGCATAATAAAAAGAAAAATGAGCTTTATTGTTTTTAATTAGTTTTTTGAATTTAAAATATCGCAATCCAAAAAAATAAACTTTTTTTACTATAGATTAAGTGTCAAATTTGAGAGATTAATGCAATTTGCTAAAGCAGAACCTAAGCCTGATGCACCCATTGCACCAATTTTATTGTAACTTTTTAAATATTGAAGAAAAAATATATCATTAAATAGTTAAATAGAAGGAAAAATGAAGAAAAAATATGAAATAATAAATTAATTAATTAATAATAAAAGCAAAAGTTGAAAATAAATGATGAGCTAAATTATCAAATAAAGAACAAAAAAAAGCAAGCACAATAAAAAGAAAAAGAAAAATGAGCTTTATTGTTTTTAATTAGTTTTTTGAATTTAAAATATCACAATCCAAAACAAATAAACTCTTTTTACCCAATGTTAAGTGTCAAATTTGAGAGATTTATGCAATTTGCTAAAGCAGAACCTATGCCTGATGCACCTATTTCACCAATTTAATTGCCACTTTTTAAATATTGAAGAAAAAATATATCATTAAATAGTTAATTAGAAGGAAAAAATGAAGAAAAAATATGAAATAATAAGATTAATTAATTAATATAATAATAGCAAAAGTTGAAAATAAATGATGAGCTAAATGATCAAAGAAAGAACAAAAAAAAAGCAAGCATAATAAAAAGTAAAAGAAAAATGAGCTTTATTGTTTTTAATTAGTTTTTTGAATTTAAAATATCACAATCCAAAAAAATAAACTTTTTTTACTCTAGATTAAGTGTCAAATTTGAGAGATTAATGCGATTTGCAAAAGCAGAACATAAGCCTGATGCACCTTCATCACCAATTTAATTACCACTTTTTAAATATTGAAGAAAAAATATATCAATAAATAGTTAATTAGAAGGAAAAAATGAAGAAAAAATATGAAATAATAAGATCAATTAATTAATAATAATAATAGCAAAAGTTGAAAATAAATGATGAGATAAATTAACAAAAAAACAACAACAAAAAAGGAAGTACAATAAAAAGAAAAAGAAAAATGAGCTTTATTGTTTTTAATTAGATGCTTAGAAGGCAGAAAAAAATGGCGTGATAGGTTGTTTTTTACCCCTATTGCCCTAAAATGCCCCGATTGTAAATTCTCTAATAATAAGATTAATAAATTAATAATAATAGCAAAAATTGAAAATAAATGATGAGCTAAATTATCAAAGAAAGAACAAAAAAAAGCAAGCACAATAAAAAGAAAAAGAAAATTGAGCTTTATTGTTTTTAATTAGTTTTTATTATTAAAAATATCACAATCCAAAACAAAAAAACTGTTTTTACTCTAGATTAACTGTCAAATTTGAGAGATTTATGCAATTTGCTAAACCAGAACCTACGCCTGATGCACCTTTATCACCAATTTTATTTGCACTTTTTAAATATTGAAGAAAAAATATATCATTAAATAGTTAATTAGAAGGAAAAAATGAAGAAAAAATATGAAATAATAAGATTAATTAATTAATAATAATAGCAAAAGTTTAAAATAAATGATGAGCTAAATTAACAAAGAAAGAACAAAAAAAAGCAAGCACAATAAAAAGAAAAAGAAAATGAGATTTATTGTTTTTAATTAGTTTTTTGAATTTAAAATATCACAATCCAAAACAAATAAACTGTTTTTACCCAATGTTAAGTGACAAATTTGAGAGATTAATGCAATTTGCTAAAGCAGAACCTATGCCTAATGCACCCATTTCACCAATTTAATTGCCACTTTTTAAATATTGAAGAAAAAATATATCAATAAATAGTTAATTAGAAGGAAAAAATGAAGAAAAAATATGAAATAATAAGATTAATTAATTCATAATAATAATGGCAAAAGTTGAAAATAAATGATGAGCTAAATTATCAAAGAAAGAACAAAAAAAAGCAAGCACAATAAAAAGTAAAAGAAAAATGAGCTTAATTGTTTTTAATTAGTTTTTTGAATTTAAAATATCACAATCCAAAACAAAGAACTGTTTTTACTATAGATTAAGTGTCAAATTTGAGAGATTAATGCAATTTGCAAAAGCAGAACATAAGCCTGATGCACCCATTTCACCAATTTAATTGTAACTTTTTAAATATTGAAGAAAAAATATATAATTAAATAGTTAATTAGGAGGAAAAAATGAAGAAAAAATATGAAATAATAAGATTAATTAATTAATAATAATAATAGCAAAAGTTGAAAATAAATGATGAGCTAAATTATCAAAGAAAGAACAAAAAAAAGCAAGCACAATAAAAAGAAAAAGAAAAATGAGCTTTATTGTTTTTAATTAGTTTTTATTATTAAAAATATCACAATCCAAAACAAAAAAACTGTTTTTACTCTAGATTAACTGTCAAATTTGAGAGATTTATGCAATTTGCTAAAGCAAAACCTAAGCATGATGCACCTTCATCACCAATTAATTTCTGAGTGTATAAATACATATATTTATGTACGAGTATATTATTATTATCACCATTTTAATTGCGACTTTTTAAATATTGAAAAAAAAAAAATATGATTAAATAGAGTAAGTTGCCATACAAACTTACAAAAAGCGAGATTTATAAACCAGTTTTTACATTTTAAAAAATTAAAATTTTAAATATTTTATATGAATTTTTTTTAATTTAGGTTTTCAAAATTTATTTTTTTCAAAAAAAATTACAGATAAGAATATGCGATATATATTATTTAAAATTTTACGTTTTTTAAATTTAAAGCTTTCTAAAAATTAAAAAATAAAGCTGCTTTAAGCTTATTTAGCTTTATTTATTATGTTATTAAGATTTATTAAATTTCGCCTTTTATAAATTAAATAGGCATTTAACTCTAGTTAATTAGGAGGAAAAAATGAAGAAAAAATATGATAAGATTAGTTAATAATTAATAAATTTAACAAAGAATGAATAAATAAGAAATAATAATATAAAGAAAAAGGAAAACAAATCAAATCAAATAAATTAAAATATCTTTAATGTTTTAAATTAACTTTTATAATTAAAAATATTACAATGCTAAAAAAATAAACTACTTTTATTTAGTGTAAGTTTTAATAGCAAAAAACGAAGAAAAAATATCAAATAATAAATAATTAAAAATTGGAAAGAAAATTAAGTTAAAATAGTTAAAAAATTTAATTTTTGTAAAAATCAATCAACAAATAATGATGATAATTTCTTTAATTAAATAATTTGAAAATTAAATGTACAAAAAATATTAATAATAATAAAAGTAATTTTTTTAATTAATTATACTTCAGATCAATATGGAGAACCTAATGAGATAAAAGAGAAGAGCTTAAAAACTTTTTTTTATTAATTAATATAAATTTAAAGGATATTAATAAAAAAATTAATAATTACTTCTTCTAAATTGTTATATTTTTTAATCTATTATATCATTTATTTATTTTTTCAAAAATATTGATTAGCAATTTATGAAATTTAATTAATTATAAATGGATAAAAAGAACAAATAAATACAATAATTAATTATCAAATATTAATTTATATATTTGGTTTTATGAAGAGATAGATATCACAGAAAAATTAATTTAACATTCACTATTATAAATTTAATATTTGTATAAAACATACACTTAAAAATATATATAGTAGGAATTAGAGATGGCCAGTTATTTATTTATTTATTTAGTCATAACCAAAAAAATTAAAATAAAAAGTAAAATTTAATTTATCCCTGAGATTTTATTTAAATCATGGTATCTAATTAATTAATCATGATAAATAAAAAAAGGATAGAAATATGATTGATGAATAATATTTAAGATTAAAATATAACTGACATATAAAAGCTTAGCATTTATATAATTTAATAAGATAAAATATAACACTATTAAATTATTTGATCATTTTTGGAGAAACAAGGTCAAATTACTTTAGAGGATTTAATTTATTTAAGTAAATTTAATTTTTAAATTTTTTTATTTTTTATAAATTATTTATTTACTTACAAAAATGAATGATATTTATAAAAAAAAAATAAATTATAAAATCTATTTATCTATCTATTTATATTTTAGGTTAAAAACACTTTTACAAAATATTAAATAATAAAATATTTAATATTATACAAACATTTTATATTTATTCATCATTTTATCACTAGTTAATTGTTTTTATAATGAAATTAAAGACAACTAATCTTTTTAATTTAAGATACTTGTTTAATACTTTGATTTTTTATGATTCATTCATTAAGCTTTAACTTTTATAATAAATTTGTGTAAGTTTTAAATAAATTTCAAAATTGAATAAAATTTTAAATTTAAAAATTATTCTTGAAATTAATAAATAAAATAATATTAGCGGAATAAAAAAGATAAAAAAAATAAATCAAATAAAAGCTATCAAATAAATTCAAAGAGATTTATTGTTTTTTGAATTTAAAATATCACAATCCAAAACAAATAAACTGTTTTTACCCAATCCGAAGTGTCAAATTTGAGAGATTAATGCAATTTGCTAAAGCAGAGCCTATGCCTGATGCACCCATTTCACCAATTTCATTGCCACTTTTTAAATATTGAAGAAAAAATATATCATTAAATAGTTAATTAGAAAGAAAAAATGAAGAAAAAAATGAAATAATAAGATTAATTAATTAATAATAAAAGCAAAAATTGAAAATAAATGATGAGCTAAATTCACAAAAAAACAACAACAAAAAGCAAGTAAAATAAAAAGAAAAAAAAATTTAGCTTTATTGTTTTTAATTAGTTTTTTGAATTTAAAATATCACAATCCAAAAAAATAAACTTTTTTTACTCTAGATTAAGTTTCAAATTTGAGAGATTAATGCAATTTGCAAAAGCAGAACATAAGCCTGATGCACCTTCATCACCAATTTAATTTTCACTTTTTAAATATTGAAGAAAAAATATGTATCAAATAGTTGATTAGAAGGAAAAAATGAAGAAAAAATATGAAATAATAAGATTAATTAATTAATTAATAATAATAGCAAAAGTTGAAAATAAATGATAAGTTAAATTGTCAAATATAAAACAAAAAAAAGCAAGCACAATAAAAAGAAAAAGAAAAATGAGATTTATTGTTTTTAATTAGTTTTTTTGAATTTAAAATATCACAATCCAAAAAAATAAACTTTTTTTACTCTAGATTAAGTGTCAAATTTGAGAGATTAATGCAATTTGCAAAAGCAGAACATAAGCCTGATGCACCTTCATCACCAATTTTATTGTAACTTATTAAATATTGAAGAAAAAATGTAGCATTAAATAGTTAATTAGAAGGAAAAAATGAAGAAAAAATATGAAATAATAAGATTAATTAATTAATTATATATAATAATAGCAAAAATTGAAAATAAATGATGAGCTAAATTATCAAAGAAAGAACAAAAAAAAACAAGCACAATAAAAAGAAAAAGAAAAATGAGATTTATTGTTTTTAATTAGTTTTTTGAATTTAAAATATCACAATCCAAAACAAATAAACTGTTTTTACTTAATGTCAAGTCTCAAATTTGAGAGATTTATGCAATTTGCTAAAGCAGAACCTAAGCCTGATGCACCTTCATCACCAATTTAATTGTCCCTTTTTATATATTGAAGAAATAATATATATTAAATAGTTGATTTGAAGGAAAAAATGAAGAAAAAATATGAAATAATAAGATTAATTAATTAATAATAAAAAAAATAAATGATGATCTAAATTATCAAAGAAAAAACAAAAAAAGCAAGCACAATAAAAAGAAAAAGAAAAATGAGATTTATTGTTTTTAATTAGTTTTTTTGAATTTAAAATATCACAATCCAAAACAAATAAACCGTTTTTACATAAAGTTAACTGTCAAATCTGAGAGATTAATGCAATTTACAAAAGCAGAACATAAGGCTGATGCACCTTCATCACCAATTTAATTGCCACTTTTTAAATATTGAAGAAAAAATGTAGCATTAAATAGTTAATTAGAAGGAAAAAATGAAGAAAAAATATGAAATAATAAGATTAATTAATTAATTAATAATAATAGCAAAAATTGAAAATAAATGATGAGCTAAATTATCAAAGAAAGAACAAAAAAAAACAAGCACAATAAAAAGAAAAAGAAAAATGAGATTTATTGTTTTTAATTAGTTTTTTGAATTTAAAATATCACAATACAAAACAAATAAACTATTTTTACCTAATGTCAAGTGTCAAATTTGAGAGATTTATGCAATTTGCTAAAGCAGAACCTAAGCCTGATGCACCTTCATGACCAATTTAATTGTCACTTTTTATATATTGAAGAAATAATTTATATTAAATAGTTGGTTTGAAGGAAAAAATGAAGAAAAAATATGAAATAATAAGATTAATTAATTAATTAATAATAAAAGCAAAAATTGAAAATAAATGATGAGCTAAATTAACAAAGAAAGAACAAAAAAAAGCAAGCACAATAAAAAGAAAAATGAGCTTTATTGTTTTTAATTTGTTTTTTGAATTTAAAATATCACAATCCAAAACAAATAAACTGTTTTTACACGATCTTAAGTCTCAAATCCGAGAGATTAATGCAATTTACAAAAGCAGAACATAAGGCTGATGCACCTTCATAACCAATTTAATTGCCACTTTTTAAATATTGAAGAAAAAATGTAGCATTAAATAGTTAAATAGAAGGAAAAAATGAAGTAAAAATATGAAATAATAAGATTAATTAATTAATAATAATAGCAAAAGTTGAAAATAAATGATGAGCTAAATTATCAAAGAATGAACAAAAAAAATCAAGCACAATAAAAAGAAAAAGAAAAATGAGCTTTATTGTTTTTAATTAGTTTTTTGAATTTAAAATATTGCAATCAAAAAAAATAAACTTTTTTTACTCTAGATTAAGTGTCAAATTTGAGAGATTTATGCAATTTTTTAAACCAGAACCTACGCCTGATGCACCTTTATCACCAATTTAATTGTGACTTTTTAAATATTGAAGAAAAAATATATAATTAAATAGTTAATTAAGAGGAAAAAATGAAGAAAAAATATGAAATAATAAGATTAATTAATTAATAATAATAGCAAAAATTGAAAATAAATGATGAGCTAAATTATCAAAGAAAGAACAAAAAAAAGCAAGCACAATAAAAAGAAAAAGAAAAATGAGCTTTATTGTTTTTAATTAGTTTTTTGAATTTAAAATATCACAATCCAAAACAAATAAACTGTTTTTACTAGATTTTAAGTGTCAAATTTGAGAGATTAATGCAATTTGCTAAAGCAGAACCTAAGCCTTATGCACCTTCATCACCAATTTAATTGTAACTTTTTATATATTGAAGAAATAATTTATATTAAATAGTTAATTAGAAAGAAAAAATATGAAATAATAAGATTAATTAATTAATAATAATAGCAAAAGTTGAAAATAAATGATGAGATAAATTAACAAAAAAACAACAAAAAAAAACGAAGTACAATAAATAGAAAAAGAAAAATGAGCTTTATTGTTTTTAATTAGTTTTTTGAATTTAAAATATCACAATCCAAAACAAATAAACTGTTTTTACCCGATGTTAAGTCTCAAATCCGAGAGATTAATGCAATTTACAAAAGCAGAACATAAGGCTGATGCACCTTCATAACCAATTTAATTGCCACTTTTTAAATATTGAAGAAAAAATGTAGCATTAAATAGTTAATTAGAAGGAAAAAATGAAGAAAAAATATGAAATAATAAAACAGATTAATTAATTAATAATACTAGCAAAAATTGAAAATAAATGATGAGCTAAATTATCAAAGAAAGAACAAAAAAAAGCAAGCACAATAAAAAGAAAAACAAAAATGAGCTTTATTGTTTTTAATTAGTTTTTTGAATTTAAAATATCACAATCCAAAACAAATAAACTATTTTTACATAATTTCAAGTGTCAAATTTGAGAGATTTATGCAATTTGCTAAAGCAGAACCTAAGCCTGATGCACCTTCATCACCAATTTAAGAAGGGCTAAGCGGCTCGAGTGGGCGAGTCGGAGGGTCTTAGCAGTGATATCGGGGGTTCGAATCCTATACCGCCCCCTTTATTTCGAAAAATTCCATGTAAAAATGTGAATGTTACCAGCGGTCTCCTTGGTAGGAGGGAAGGGCCAAATCTGATAGGTGGTAAAGAGGAGGCCCCATTCTGAACAGAAGATCTGGAATACAAATGGGAAGCGAGCATAATGCGTAGTCAAATCATGGAAGATTAGTAGAAATGCCATTAGGGTGTAGGTGACCCTTCCCTTCTAGTATATTACCCACAATTATATATAAATAAATTGGTATACGTATAATAATAATGTATAAGTAATTATATATAGGGCCCCTATCCCGAGTGCATGTCACCATGTGCGAGTATGTATGTATGTATGTATCACCAATTTAATTGTCCCTTTTTATATATTGAAGAAATAATATATATTAAATTGTTGATTTGAAGGAAAAAAAGAAGAAAAAATATGAAATAATAAGATTAATTAATTAATAATAATAGTAAAAGTTGAAAATAAATGATGAGCTAAATTAACAAAGAAAGAAAGAAAAAAAGCAAGCACAATAAAAAGAAAAATGAGCTTTATTGTTTTTAATTAGTTTTTTGAATTTAAAATATCGCAATCCAAAAAAATAAACTTTTTTTACTCTAGATTAAGTGTCAAATTTGAGAGATTAATGCAATTTGCAAAAGCAGAACCTAAGCCTGATGCACCTTCATCACCAATATAATTGTAACTTTTTATATATTGAAGAAATAATTTATATTAAATAGTTGATTTGAAGGAAAAATGAAGAAAAAATATGAAATAATAAGATTAATTAATTAATTAATAATAATAGCAAAAATTGAAAATAATTGGTGAGCTAAATTATCAAAGAAAGAACAAAAAAAATCAAGCACAATAAAAAGAAAAAGAAAAATGAGCTTTATTGTTTTTAATTAGTTTTTTGAATTTAAAATATCACAATCCAAAACAAATAAACTGTTTTTACCCGATTTTAAGTGTCAAATTTGAGAGATTAATGCAATTTGCTAAAGCAGAACCTAAGCCTGATGCACCGATTGCACCAATTTAATTTGAACTTTTTAAATATTGAAGAAAAAATATATAATTAAATAGTTAATTAAGAGGAAAAAATGAAGAAAAAATATGAAATTATAAATAAGACTAATTAATTAATAATAATAGAAAAAGTTAAAAATAAATGATGAGCTAAATTATCAAAGAAAGAACAAAAAAAAGCAAGCACAATAAAAAGAAAAAGAAAAATGAGCTTTATTGTTTTTAATTAGTTTTTTGAATTTAAAATATTGCAATCAAAAAAAATAAACTTTTTTTACTCTAGATTAAGTGTCAAATTTGAGAGATTAATGCAATTTGCAAAAGCAGAACCTAAGCCTGATGCACCTTCATCACCAATTTAATTGTAACTTTTTATATATTGAAGAAATAATTTATATTAAATAGTTGATTTGAAGGAAAAAATGAAGAAAAAATATGAAATAATAAGATTAATTAATTAATTAATTAATAATAATAGCAAAAATTGAAAATAATTGGTGAGCTAAATTATCAAAGAAAGAACAAAAAAAAGCAAGCACAATAAAAGGAAAAAGAAAAATGAGCTTTATTGTTTTTAATTAGTTTTTTGAATTTAAAATATCACAATCCAAAACAAATAAACTATTTTTACCTAATGCCAAGTGTCAAATTTGAGAGATTAATGCAATTTGCAAAAGCAGAACCTAAGCCTGATGCACCTTCATCACCAATTTAATTGTAACTTTTTATATATTGAAGAAATAATTTATATTAAATAGTTGATTTGAAGGAAAAAATGAAGAAAAAATATGAAATAATAAGATTAATTAATTAATTAATTAATAATAATAGCAAAAATTGAAAATAATTGGTGAGCTAAATTATCAAAGAAAGAACAAAAAAAAGCAAGCACAATAAAAGGAAAAAGAAAAATGAGCTTTATTGTTTTTAATTAGTTTTTTGAATTTAAAATATCACAATCCAAAACAAATAAACTATTTTTACCTAATGCCAAGTGTCAAATTTGAGAGATTTATGCAATTTGCTAAAGCAGAACCTAAGCCTGATGCACCTTCATCACCAATTTAATTGCCACTTTTTATATATTGAAGAAATAATATATATTAAATAGTTGATTTGAAGGAAAAAATGAAGAAAAAATATGAAATAATAAGATTAATTAATTAATTAATTAATAATAATAGCAAAAATTGAAAATAATTGGTGAGCTAAATTATCAAAGAAAGAACAAAAAAAAGCAAGCACAATAAAAAGAAAAACAAAAATGAGCTTTATTGTTTTTAATTAGTTTTTTGAATTTAAAATATCACAATCCAATACAAATAAACTATTTTTACCTAATGTCAAGTGTCAAATTTGAGAGATTTATGCAATTTGCTAAAGCAGAACCTAAGCCTGATGCACCTTCATGACCAATTTAATTGCCACTTTTTATATATTGAAGAAATAATATATATTAAATAGTTGATTTGAAGGAAAAAATGAAGAAAAAATATGAAATAATAAGATTAATTAATTAATAATAAAAGCAAAAATTGAAAATAAATGATGAGCTAAATTAACAAAGAAAGAACAAAAAAAGCAAGCACAATAAAAAGAAAAAAAAAAGAAAAATGAGCTTTATTGTTTTTAATTAGTTTTTGAATTTAAAATATCACAATCCAAAACAAATAAACTATTTTTACCTAATTTCAAGTGTCAAATTTGAGAGATTTATGCAATTTGCTAAAGCAGAACCTAAGCCTGATGCACCTTCATCACCAATTTAATTGTCCCTTTTTATATATTGAAGAAATAATATATATTAAATTGTTGATTTGAAGGAAAAAATGAAGAAAAATATGAAATAATAATATTAATTAATTAATTAATAATAATAGCAAAAGTTGAAAATAAATGATGAGCTAAATTATCAAAGAAAGAACAAAAAAAGTAAGCATAATAAAAAGAAAAAGAAAAATGAGATTTATTGTTTTTAATTAGTTTTTTGAATTTAAAATATCACAATCCAAAACAAATAAACAGTTTTTACCTAAGCTAAAGTGTCAAATTTGAGAGATTTATGCAATTTTTTAAACCAGAACCTACGCCTGATGCACCTTTATCACCAATTTAATTGCGACTTTTTAAATATTGAAGAAAAAATATATAATTAAATAGTTAATTAAGAGGAAAAAATGAAGAAAAAATATGAAATAATAAATAAGACTAATTAATTAATAATAATGGAAAAAGTTAAAAATAAATGATGAGCTAAATTATCAAAGAAAGAACAAAAAAAAGCAAGCACAATAAAAAGAAAAAGAAAAATGAGCTTTATTTTTTTTAATTAGTTTTTTGAATTTAAAATCAAAACAAAAAAACTGTTTTTACTCTAGATTAACTGTCAAATTTGAGAGATTTATGCAATTTGCTAAAGCAGAACCTAAGCAAGATGCACCTTCATCACAAATTATTTTAGGCTTTTCAAAAATTGAGACAACTGGCTGTATACCAATTAAACTAAAAAATAAATAAATAAAATTTGTTAAAAAAATTATTTTTTTTTTATTTTTTTTTTTAATTATAGGTTTTCAAAATTTATTTTTTTCAAAAAAATTACAGATAAGAATATACGATATATATTATTTAAAATTTTACGTTTTTTAAATTTAAAGCTTTCTAAAAATTAAAAAATAAAGCTGCTTTAAGCTGATTTAGCTTTATTTATTATGTTATTAAGATATATTAAATTTCGCCTTTTATAAATTAAATAGGCATTTAACTCTAGTTAATTAGGAGGAAAAAATGAAGAAAAAATATGATAAGATTAGTTAATAATTAATAAATTTAACAAAGAATGAGAAAATAAGAAATAATAATAAAAAGAAAAAGGAAAACAAATCAAATCAAATCAAATAAATTAAAAGATCTTTAATGTTTTAAATTAAATTTTATAATTAAAAATACTAGAATTCAAAAAAAATAAACTGCTTTTATTTAGTGTAAGTTTTAATAGCAAAAAACGAAGAAAAAATATCAAATAGTAAATAATTAAAAATTGGAAAGAAAATTAAGTTAAAATAGTTAAAAAATTTAATTTTTGTAAAATCAATCAACAAATAATGATGATAATTTCTTTAATAAAAATTATTTATTTAAATAAATTGAAAATTAAATGTACAAAAAATATTAAAAATAATAAAAGTAATTTTTTTAATTAATTATACCTCAGATCAATATGGAGAACCTAATGAGATAAAAGAGAAGAGCTTAAAAACTTTTTTTATTAATTAATATAAATTTAAAGGATGTTAATAAAAAAATAAATAATTACTTCTTCTAATTTGTTATATTTTTTAATCTATTATATCATTTATTTATTTTTTGAAAAATATTGATTAGCAATTTATGAAATTTAATTAATTAATTAATTATAAATGGATAAAAAGAACAAATAAATACAATAATTAATTAATTATCAAATATTAATTTATATATTTGGTTTTATGAAGAGATAGATATCACAGAAAAATTAATTTAACATTCACTATTATAAATTTAATATTTTTATAAAACATACACTTAAAAATATATATAGTAGGAATTAGAGATGGCCAGTTATTTATTTATTTATTTAGTCATATTTGAAAAAATCTAGGAAATTATTTGATGAATAAATAATTATTTCTTTTAAAATAATTAAGCATATTATATAAAAAAAATAAAAACTATTATAAATTAAAAATATAATATATTTATATTAAAAAGTTATAAAATAAATATTTTATGATAAAAAGTAAAATAAAATTATTTAATTAATATAATTAATTATTCTATTTTAAAGCAAATCCATGAATTAATTAAATTCTTAATTCTCCACATCAATAAGAATTTAATACATGGAAGTGCTATAATTGATATATAGATTGATAGATAGTTTTTGTTAATAATATATTTAATGAACGTTTTTAGTTTCTTCTTTTTGATATTGTTTGTATCTATCTAATTAAAAAATATTTGATAAGATTCTACTTTTATTGTGATTGATATTAATTTCAATTAACAAAGCAGACAAGCAAATCAACTGATTAATTTAGAAATAAATTCATGAATAGATCAATTAGTTAACTAAGTAAGACTATTGAATCCACAGGAGGTGGATAAGATGAGATTTTAGAGATATCACAGTCATCAATTACTATACCTTAAGGTGAAGGTAGGAAATTTGGAGATATTGGCAAATTATTATCAGCCGCATCAGCGATTTAAAAATTTAAGTCAAATTTTGTAGCAAATGTAAAAGAAAATGTTGCAAATTAATAAGATATAAAAAACATAACAGAGAGCTATATGATAGAGCAAATTATATTAATGACAGAGTTTTGTTATACTCTTAAGGATTATGATAAGCAAGTATAAAATGCTGATTCTTTAAAATAGCGCTAATAAATAGAAGAATAAAGAGATATGTAAGTAAAAGAATTGTTTGTTAGGCTGCAGGAAGACTAAGTTATAGATTTTTTGTAAAAAGGAAACTACGAAATAGAGATACTGCAAGATATCTTAGATATTTGCTTGGTTATATTTAATGAGTTTATGCTGAAAGATTAATACATTTATCAAGAATCTCCTCTCTGTAGTTTATTTAGTTTTCTTTAATAACTCACTCTTCTCCCAGAGGCTTAGAATCTCTTGTTAAATAGCAAAACTTTTTATGAGCTCAGTTCAAAATTCACTAAAAAGTCAATCAAAGATTTAACATTCTGGTAGCGTGAGTTAGAATTTATAACTGTAATCAGTAATATAGTTTCCTATTAAGAAATAACTGATTTTACAAGTGTTATGTTTTTACAATATGCTGAAATCCTTATATAATTTTATGACTTCATTCAAAAAGACCATTCTAAAGTTATTGAACAGCGTTAAAAAGAGACCAAAAGAAAAGATATAGAGAGGACACCCAAGTTTCTATAAGAGGAAGGAAAGGAGTAAATCAGACTCTATCTGGCATTATTACCTGCTTATTTAGTTGAATTTTCTGCCTTCACAAAATACAGTTTTACACTCAATTTTGATAACTTGTAAAATGATAAAAAACAAGGATTATCTAACTCAGAAAAACTATAGAGGCAATACACCAAAATAGGTAAAATATTAAATAACTATATTTTCTAAGGAAATTTAATTGCTTTAAGTAATATCAATACTAACTATTTTTCATACCTCCACTATAAAAGTTTATTTAATTGAATCATTTGTTGTTCTTGTTGTTTTTAAAATAAGAAATAAAAATATTTGTTTCACTTTAAAAGTTTAAAAATGTAATAAAAATTAAAATTTAAGAAGAAATAAATGATGAAAATGTCATTCATTTAAATTGTGAACCCATGAGGGAGGGATTATTGTTGGATTTTAAAATTTATAATAGGCTCTCAATCAAATGTGATAATTGAAATTATTTTTTGAAGATTTTTCTATTTCAAAGTCTTAAAATCCAAAAAAAGAGAAGTGTCTTTCTAAAAAAACGAATTTAAAGATAAATTTAATTGATGGTTTGATAACTCAATCAAAAATACTTTTGATAACATATTTTAATTATTTATTATGTATGATTGATTTGTTATTAAAATTTAATAAAAAATAGCAATTTTATGCAGAATGTGTTTAGATAGCATAGAAAAAAATGAGCTTTCAAAATGTTTAGGCGAGATTGTAACAAAAATGAAAGACATGCTTCCTACTTCATCTTCAATTATAAAGAGAATGATTTTATCATTTTTTAAATATTATGTAAAGACAAATGATATGAGGTGCTGGTTTAAGTTTTCATCACCTCATTTAGCTATAGACTCAACTAACACAGTTCAGAATGTTATTGTTTTAGGAAATCCTTATTACTTTGGTAACGAAATAGGTCTTTATACCAATTGGGGTGCTTTTTTCGATGAAGGAGATGTTATTTACCTCAAAGACAGAATAAAATTTGATTAAACTTCTTAAATACGTTCGTATTCTATCAGTTTATGGTTTATATATCCTTTTCGTACTTTGAATGAGTATTTAAATCCAGATGAAACTACATTCATAGATATAGCTGCTCAGAGTTCCACACCAATAAACAGAATGTAGCGCAAAATTATTAAAAATTTCCGCTGCTTTCTGTAATGCGAGTCAGGAAATGGCTGTATTTTAGGCATTTTAAATGAATAAAAAGTAGTATTTTTTGATGATGAATTTCGTATGCATTCATTTGATATGGTAAACAAAAATGAAGGATGGAATAATATAATTTTGAGCGTTGATAATATGACTTAAAATGTAAAAATATATATGAATAGCAAAGAAATTTCAAATAAATTCAATGTCACTATATCTAGAAATATTGCCTTCATTGGAAACTCCATTTAAAAAACAGAGCCTTGTGGTACTATTTGTGATTTGAGGTTTTTTGATTCAATTATACCAGATGAGCTTGTAAATTTAAATATATTTGATTTAAATTTATTTTAAAAATGATATTTTTATTAATAAATAGAAAGATAAAATTGTGCATTATAATAGAATCTAAAATATGCCCGACTTTTTATATTTTGATTTAGAGTAATTTGGAGTCTGTGAGGCAATCGATTAAGCTTTAGAAAAAAACAAAAAAGATGATAGATTTATTCAAGACACAGTTAAATGCATAATTAGCCTCACAACCAATCAATACACTAAAGGAAAACTAATATCATAAGGAGTCTTCAATAAAATTGTACCCTTAACATTCCATAAAAGCTATGAAATAAGATTGCTTAGTTAAAAAGCTCTTTTGTATTTTTACTGATAGCAAATTTTTATTTTTTATTAAGTTTTTTGTTAAAATATTATTTATTTTTAAAGAATATTTAATCTTCTAAATAAATCTCTTAAAAAATAAATAAATAAATCAGTGTAAAATTTTAAATAAAAAACATTGAAATTTATATTTTTATTATTTTATTTAATAAATTGATAAATATAAATTTATTTTTATTTAATATATTTTAATAAATATTTAAATCAATTAAAATATAATCTTCAATAAGAATAAGAGAAGGAAAGTAAAATAAAATAAAAACAAAATTTAATTTTTTGAAAATAAATAAATTAAAAAATTTTATAAACTATTTTATGAAAATATTTAATAATAGTTCAATCTGATAATATGATTAGTTAAAAATTATAAAAATAAAGACTCCTTTGAGCATGGCTCATTGTGAAGATTACATTTGTTAATAGTAATTGTCAGAATTTTATTTAATTAAAATTCAGTATTTTTCTGAAAAATTTATCTTATTTCCAAATTAGTATTACTAACTAACGGCCTTAAAAATAATGTAAATTAATTAATTTATGTGCCAGTAAAAAGAATTCCTTTTTTTACAAACATATTTGAAAAACAATAAATTGAATTCTCTATTCAATTGCATTAAATAATGATAAGTGTTTAAGCATGCATTTTGGATTATGAAGACTTTTTTTAATATCAAAGTTATTAACAACCTTAAAAAAATATAAGATTGTAAAAATTTCAAATGATATGATCAGAAATAAGCGATTAAAAAGTAAATAAAAATGATTTGAATACTTAATAGATTTAACATATTAAACAGTAATTTTTGTTGTATAAAGTATTTTATTATAAATTTAGTGACTTAGAAGTACGTAAAAAAAATTTAAATATATTTTGTCCATATATATATTTAATATAAGAAATTACTTCATATAACAATCTCATTTTATTTAATTCAGTTTAACTTACTTCCAAATTATTTCAGTGCAAATTTTCTACCAAACTTCAATCCATGATGAATTTGTTTCAGAATTATTGATAAGAGTAGGGATTTTATTGTTGTAAGACAGGGTATCTTCTTACATTTTATGCATCAACAACTTCTACTGATTATCTGCTTGACTGATCATTATTGATGCTTAATTAAGGAAGTTCAACAGTCATGAAGTTTTAGTTGCTGGGGATAGCTACAGGTCTTTGAGGAACCGAAGCGTGTTCATTGGATGGAACAGCATAATATGGCTAGGCGTGAACAACTGGAATGGCAACTCTTGGTTGTTAAGGTTATAATTGTTATTAGCTAATTAGAGTATTGGTTAATTGAGGATATTAGTAATTCATTTAAACAGGTTATCCGACAGGGATGCTAGGTTAGCTGTTTTATTGAAGGAAGAGCTCGTGAGGATTGTTAGAACTATTCAATTATTATTAGACAGTTTGTTATTAAACGTATTATTCTCTCATAGTTCTCTATCTTTCTCTTCTTTGTTATCTCTTTCTCTTGCAGCACTTGACTAACTTTACTAGAACAGCAATAACTAATAAAATGGAGGCAATATTTATTGCGATTCTTGCAGGCTTAGGCAATCTTTTGTAGGCCATTTTTAATTTAGATCCTTATTTTTTGAATTAGCTGTGATAACCAGATCCTTTAGATTCAACAAGGTTAGAAGAGCTTCTCAAATGACCTTAATCATTCTTTTCTTCGTGTTTTCCTTATTTTTTTCTCATATCACCGCCACGTCTGTTTTCGTGATCACTTTCTTCTTCTCTGTGGTGTTTTTCTCTCTTATGATTTTGGTGTCTTTTTTCATCTTCTTCTCTTTCATGCTTTTTACCTTCATGATGTTTCTTTTCCCATTTATGTTCTTCACGTTGTTTTTCGTGATTTTTATGATCTCTTTCACCATGTTTTTTGGTTTTATTAAATGAGCTTACATCTGTCGAATTCTATTCATCGATTTCATGAGGATATTATTGAGGAACAGGTGGCAATTATTTTTGAGTCCAAGCTGAATTATTTAAATATTATTCAGTTTAGTTATAGGTAGTAGCACCGTGAGTAAAATTGTACAATTATTTTAAGTCTTCGTTATCGACTTAGAAAGCCTGAGCTTAAATGCAAATTAGTGCAATTGATAAAACAATCAGTGTTTTCATCTGGTTTTAGTTTATTTTTAATAAAATTAATATTTATTATTATTATTAATTATTTAATTAATTATAAGATTTAGCTGGAACTTTATATTCTAAATTTGAGTCAAGGCCTTATAAATAATTAATTTTGTAATGAAATTCTTTCTTTTTTTTCTATCTCACTTTTTTCCTTTTTAATTTCAGGCAAAGAAGAAAATAAGATTAAAGTTTCTAATTAATTAAATGAAGAATGAAAAATGTAATTTAATAATTAAATCAATTTTTGTCGCTAACTCTTGCTAACTCAAGTCAAAAATTAATTAGAAAAAATAGACTAATTTTTTTAATAAAATTTTGCGCTTACATGCGCTTTAAGCATGTTCAGGCAAAAAATAAATTAAAAAGTAACTCTCAATTATAAATATGAATACAAAGAATATTTCATTGATTTTAAAAATCTAATTAAAGCAAATGTTTTTTAAATTATTGATTAAAATTATTTTTAGTTGTCTCATTTAGAGATCATAGAATCTTCTAATTCATAAAACGCATCTTGAATTTGATTGAACTTCACAGGCACAAGTAAATCCACTTCATACCTATTTAAAAATATAAGCAAGCATTAATCAAAAATAATTAACGTTAGATTAAAATATTATTTAAATTTATTTACTCCAAAACAAAGCGCTTAGACTCTTCATCTAACAGTCTGTAAGAAATCCATAAAACTTTATTATAAATAAATAATTTATTAGATTGAAGCAATCATTATAATATATTAGAATAAATGAGGGGAACCTAATAAGAAAAATTGATAGATAGATAAATAGATTCAATGTAAAATTGCGGAAATTAATAGACTCTGCAATTTTCTAAATCGATTTTACTTCCAAAATTAAACATTCTAGATTAGTCGATTAAAATAAGTTTTTTGGTCAAAAATTTTTGAAATTCAAACAAATTCAGAGCAGAATTAATTAACTTAATTTAAAAATTAAAAACTTTGCTTTCTTATAAAATATATCAATCATTAATTAATTAATAAATAAATAAATTGATTGTTTATTTTAAATAGCTACTCTTTCCAACTTAATCTAAATTCTATCAAAACTACAAAACGCATTATAAATTTTTACATTAATCTTTATCAAGCTTCTGTTTCAATTAGCTATCAAGATTCTCTATTATTTCTTTGAAGCTGTCAGTATAAGAGTTGCATCTCATTAGTCGCTTCTTAATTTTAGAGCAAATGTCTTTCCAGCAAACCCTTAACTGGTCAATGTTTCTAACAAAATCCTAATTTTTTCCAGAATAAAAAGAGAATGTGCTTTTTAAATTCAAATATCTTTGAATAACTTATTTTACGTTATGCGAAATTTAATTAGAAAATGCTGTCTGTTTATCAATTTTAAATAATCCTTCTTAAAGGGAGATGCTTGCAAATTTATTCAATGAAAGATTTCTTTCACCTAATTTTTAAAAATTTAAATGAAAAAAGTTAGCAAAAGGTTTTTTTAAATAAAAAACTCCATTTTTTCTTGTTTTTTTAATAAAAAGGATGCATTTTTGAGTAATAAAATTTTAAACAATTTTTGATTGTGATTATAATTACCATCAGAGGAGATAATATCAGCTTCACTTAAAAACAAATCCTAAGCTTTTTTTAAATCAAATCTTTCTTTTTCTAAATGACGATACAAAGTAATAAATTCATCAATTTCTATTTAGCCATTTTTATTAAGCTAATTTTATAATTTAAAGTTTTTTAAAAATAAAATAAATGCCAAAAAAAATATGTTTACATCTGCTGCAAAAAATAAATCTTCTACATTTCCTAGGACATTATTTTTTGTTTAATTATATTTTTCTAATATTTACTCCATCATATCATCAAAGTCTATTCAAAAATATTAAAAATTTTTAAAACTAATTTAAATAATAAGTAAATTTAAATTTTAATATAAATTTATTGTAAAAAATTTAATTTAAAAAAGCTTAAAGTTTCTTTTTAATATTAGGTAATCCAAATGCTTATTTTATTTATCAAGATAAAAATTTTATTTCTGAAAAATAAGTTTAAATTGAATTATTTAATAGTGGGAATTAAATAAAGAATATATGATTATTTAAAAAATTAAAAATTTTAAATAAAATGTTTAAATATTACCTATTAAATCTGATTTATTCTTATCCTAAATCTTGTTTTTGTTAATCTAATTTATAAATTATGAAATAAATTATATTTAATACAAATAAATTTTTATTTTTACCCAATCAACTAATTCTATTACTTTATCTTGACTTATGATATCTTGAAATTAATTTGTTAACGCTTATAGCGAAAGTTCCTAATTTTTTAAGTAAGAATTTAAATATTTAAACAATAAATAACTTCATTTTAATTTAGAATATCAAAACTAAATTATTTAGAAGCAATTAAAAAGAGATTAATAACATTGCTGATTGCATTATCGTAAATTTAAAATTTATAAAAATTTAGTTTAGTAAAAAAACTAAAGCCATAAAAATAAACCATTAAAAAATAAAAATCTAATTTCACAAAAAAGATAAAAAGCTGTTAATTAATTGATTAATAAATTAACTTAAATAAGAATATTAACTAATTTTTTTAAGAAATAATTAATTAATCTATTTACATGAGAAATGAACATTCTATCAAATGGCTAATTTATAATTTGCATGCCACTGTTTCCAGACTCTTCAACGAATTTAAGACATTTAATATAGAGCTCAAAATCTTAACTATCGTAAGGATCATAAATTCTAGCAAATCGTGAAAACATTTTGATTCTAGAGTTATCTAAGTATTTCATTGTGCTCTCTAAAAATTATTAAAGTTTAGTCTCAGCAACTTTCTTTAAACCGTATTTCTACATCATGTTGTCGTAAGCTATAACATATAAAGGGTTTTACACATTTTAAGGGTTTTTAATTCTATCTTAATAAACATTCAATACAAATTTTATGATATTGTTTTTTGTTTATGAAATTTAGTGCTTATTTTCCTTTATCCTATCTTAAACTTTGCTTAATAATTTAAGAGCAGGTTCTGCATTAGCACTGATAGTTCTGTCCTTTTTTTAAACTTATCCTAATTTAAATTCATATGTCTTTGTTTTCTTATTAGTAAACAGTCTCATCGACGATCTTCTCACATTATGAATCTGAGGAAGGTAGTCATCAAAGTCTACATCTTCTTTACCATCTTCGTCATTGATTATAAAATCGTTAGTTAAATCTCCTAACTAGTTTATTAGAGCATCAAACCTAGACCTTCTAGCTTACTTATTTTTGAATATTTATGTGGGAGAATTTTCTATTTTTAAATTTATTAAAATTTTTTATTTTAAGAAATATTTGAAAAAAAAAGCTTTAGAAAGAAAGAAATAAAGAAAGTAATTTAAAATTTTTAAAACACCTCCACCTCCAGGTTTAGAAATACTTTTCTTTGACTAAGGTTGTGACATTTTAAAGTTCTTAGCCATGCTTTTAGTCTTAGAAGTTGGAGAGCTCTATTGTTCTATTGGAACAAATTCAATTATGGAAATATTTTCAGGTTCATCTGATTTAATTTCTTCTTTAGGAAAAGGAATATCGTTAAATGATTCTTAAGTATTTTATCCCATATCTTATATTGAATATTCATTTGTTTATTATTATATTTTTCTATTTTCTTGTACTAGCTACTTAGCAATATCTTATATTTTTATTATAGTATTCTTTTAACTCCTTATGATGTCCTTGAGTTACTTTACCTTGTTAATTAGTTTCTTATTTTTATTAGTCAAATCAGAGACATTGTCTTTGATTTCTTCTATCTCCAGCTTGGCATCTTCTAACTATAATTATTAATTTTATTTAATAAAATTTAAGTTTCAAACTAATAAAATTCAATTAAAATTAAAAATAAATTATGAAATTTTTTAATAGAAATTTTAATCTACCAAAATCATATCAAAGAAAAAATCAATAAATCTATTTTAGATTTTGAAATCTACAATAATTCATAAATATTCTCGTTTTTTTGTTTGAGTTTAACCATATATTGATAGATAGATATAATTAAGGTAAAATATTTTTGTAAAAATGAGAGATAACTATGATGCAAAAATAGGAAAACTGAACATTAAATTTGATTTTGTTTGTTTAAATAAATTTTAAATTTGAAAAAATTTAAATTGTTATCATTTTGTTTATTAAATTAACATCTTTTTAATCAAAAAATAATTTCTGAGTTTTATTTAAAAATATTTCTTTATATTAAAGCTATTAAATGTGGATCAAGAGCTGAAAAGGATAAATAAATATCTGATCATTTATTAGATTTTATTTGTTTGTTTTACAAAATTTTTATTATTAAAAAATAGACATAAATAAAGAATTAAAAATTAAGTTCATCTTAAAAGATTAAAGAATTATTTACTTCTTTCATCTGCTGGATTTTTTCTTCCTAGTCTTATTGAGGATCGGGATTGATATTTTAAAATTGATTTTCATTTTAATTTTAAAAAGATTTTGAGGATTGTTTTATCAAAGATTGTTCATTCTCAATTGGTTATTGCTCAGTTATTTCATTCTAGTTTTGAGGACTTGTTTCTTAGTTTTTAGCTTTTTGCTCTTCTTACTCTTTAGTAATCAGATTCAGCATTATGTCAATATTTTATTTAATGATATCTGGCAGATCAGAATTATCTCTGATTGCTTAATAAATAGACCTCCAATCTGTTTAATTTATTTCAACATTACCAAATTAAGAAGTAGTGGAAGAAGTTAATTAAATCTTTTCTTTTTCGATATATTTTTTTAATTACTCTTCAATTTTATCAATTTTATTCTAAAATTCTTTTGTTTATTTTTTTTAATCTTACTGTAATTGTTGGATTTCTTTAGTTTTAATCTAAGATCCCATTTCTTTTTCTTTTATAATTTTCTCTTTTTGTGTTATTAATTAATCTTTTTCAGCTAATAATTACTCCATTTACTCTATTTCCTCCTCTTGTTGTTAAATCTTTTATTCCTGATCCTTCTTTATGTTTTAGATTTCTTATTAAAGCTGCTACTTTTCCAATTACATTTACTATTTCTCTAAATTAAGTTATTCTATCAATTACTTAAGTTATTAATTTTAATTTGGCTATTTTTATTTTTAATTTGACTGTTGCTTACTATCCCTTTGCAATCTCTACGACTGTTAACTATTTTATTTTTCTTTTTATTATTATTGCTAGCTATATTTTTGCTATAATTCATTTTCTATTTATTCTCTTAGTTATTATTTTATTTAACTTCTTAAATTGCTCTCTATTTGCTCCTTCAATTCCTACTCTATTTATTGTCTTAATTAGTTTTCTCTTTCTTAAATTGCTTGATTTATTATATCACTTTGATCTTTTTCTATTCTTTCTTATTAACTATTGGTTTAATGCTTTTCTTAGTTTATTTCAATATTCTCTGTCTAAGTTTCTTCCTCAGTAAAAGTTTCTTTGTTTTTAAGTATTTATTTATCAAATTTAATAAATAATTTTAAAGAATTTGGTTTAAAATAAAATAAACAAACAGACAAAAAAATCTTACTTATTGGGAATCTTAACTTCGAAAATTCATAAAGTGATTCCATTTCAATATTTAATTCCTCTAAATGTAGAATAGAATTGTTAGCTGATTTACATCTTTTTTCAATTTTCAACTGCTATGTTTAGTAATTAGCTGCTTTGAAATCAATGAAATTATTTTACTTAGGAGTTTTTTACACATTAGGAGTTGACAATTGTATAGAATTGCTTTATTTTTAATAGTTTTAAATGCTTTAATACTTTTAGTCTTCTAACTGCTTTAACCTAATATAAGCTTTTTCTTCCATTTTTTATCGATTTTCTTAATTCTTTTATTAATTTACATATTCAGTTTAGTAGAAATCATTATCCCAAGATAGCAATTTTATGTTTTGCTTCAGAGATTCTATTTCTGCATCTTTAATTTTTATTTCTGACTAAAATTTATCATTAACTTCTTTCAATACATGATTATTTTATATCGCCATATCCAAATTACTTGTAAGTTCATCAATGCTTATTTGCATTTAAGAGAGACTCTTGCTTAACTAATTTATATTAGCTTCATAACCTTTTGATATTCTATTAACGTCCTCAATATATAACTTTTCTAAATTCCTTTTTTCAGTAGCATTTAATTCTATTAGCTTCTCAAATAAAGTTAAATATGCATCCCAAACTTTTTATATGAGCAATCCTCTCTCAGTACACTAAAGGCTAACCTATAAAAAAGTTAAAAATTATTTAATATTATAAAATTAATATGTATATTATATATTGCTTATAACTAATATGCATAATAATTAAACAATTTATTTGAGATATTTCTTATAAAAATATTTGATAAATATTTTATTTTCTTATTTATTATCTATAATAAGTTATATTATTGTTCCTATTTTTAAAAGAATTACTTGGCGAATGAGTTCTTTTAAACAAGCTGTATAAATTAGCTAAACATTTTCTAAAACTTAATCGGCTTTCAAGTTATTTTCTGAATAAATTTGTTAGAGCATTACTTCTAGCCAGTTCTCAAGGTCTTATACATCTTATCTGCTGGTAGTATTTTTATATTATTGCTATTAATTTTCGCTTTACTAAAATTTGTTATTATCTCTGACACTTTGAAAATGCTTAGAATTTAAATCTGTATTACTACCTTTGATCACATTTTGATATTATTTTTGGTTCATAGTTTCTGAAAATCTTCTCTATGGGGATAAGGAATTTACAATAGATCTTTACAAGTGAAAAGACTGATAGGATTCCTTTTTATTTTCAGTAACCTAAAAAACACTCTACTTAAACTGTTCACCGTTACTGTCAGTAATATTAACTAAAACCGGGTCTATGAGCTTTTAATCAGAAACATAGCTTAGATTTTTGTTTTCCATAATTTTCTTCAAGTCTGCTTAATACTAAACCTTTATATTCCCTAGTGCCACTAATGAAAAAAATGTTTTAATAAAAATATTTATTAAATTTAATGTTGTTTGTTACTCTTGACCCAAAACTTATTCTTATTTAATCTACTTTTATGTAAAGTTTAAATGTCTTTAGGTGTCAAAAGCATAGAGTCATATATTTTTTATTTACATTTAGGATAATCCATTATATTTGTAAAATGTTATTCAAGGTGAGAAATGTCAGAGAATACCTTTCGTTGCTTGCCTGTAAATGATGAAGTAGTCTGTAAATTTTATATTTTCCTATATTTTTAATTAATTATTTAATATATAATTTTCAAAATATACATATTTAAATATAGATTTCATATACTTTAATTTCTCTTATATCTATCTCCACTCACTCCAAAATTTTAAAATAGTTTTAAAGAATAAAAACAAAATATTAATAAAAATATTTTTTGTGAGTTGGTCTTATTTATAAGAAATTTCAGTATTTAAAAATAAAGAAGAGAATTCTTTATTAAAAAAAATATTATTTATTTACTGCAACATAGACGATGGCTTGCTAGATTATATTAGGTCTGATTAGCTTTTTAAATTATAGGATGAATTACGAAGGAAATTGCTCTTATGTAGTAAATTTTATCTTTTAATTGCTTCAGAATTAATATCTACTGATTTATTGTTAACGTTACTGCTATTCATTTGAGAAGAATTTAGTATTCCTATTATCGATTTGCTCTAATCAAATTTCATGCTTGACTAATTCAATATCGAATTTAAACGCTAGTCACTTTTAGATTTACTAAGAGTCTATGTATCTTATGTTGTTAAATTGCTCTTCAACTAAAATTTTGGAATAGTTTGTGTACTTCCGAAAATAGAAAAATCGCTTCCTTCAGTTAAAACAGGCCCATTAAGTAAATTTTACGAAAAATTCCCTCTTTTTGTTTTGCTTTAGTTAATAACTATATTATCATCATCTGGTAGAGTGATTTATTGCTTTTCTTCATTTAGAGATATTAAATCGTAAGTTTATTCTGTTTTTGAATAGACATTGCTAGTTTAAGGTTGCTTTGTCTCTATTTAAAATATTGGATTTAGCTTTAGAGTTTAATTTTATTATTATTTATGCAATGCTTCTATTTTTTTAATTCCTCCATTTCCTTCCTAATTTTTAAAATCAGTAAAGATAGAAACCTAAGTATTATGTTTCCTACCTTGATCTAATTGCTCCTTAAGTTTAGAAGCTGGCGAAATGCATATTAATTATTTAGAAATTTGCTTGACTTGTAGCTTTTCATCGCTATACTCAACAGGCATATTAAACTCATTATAATAATCTTTATTATTTGTTGACTTCTACATCTTATTATCTTGCAAAACTAACTATTAATTCCCATTTTTACTATATGTTTTGAGCATTAGCTTCTAACTTAATTTTTAATTTATCTATTAGTCGTCCAAGCTATTAGGTTTATATCTATTCCTAATTCCATTCATTTTTATTTGTGGGCTTAGTTCCTAATTTTTATAAAATTTAGTTGAAATTAGCAGCCAGTCTACTTACTTACTTATTTAATTAATTAATATATTTATTTATAATTGGGTTCAATAAGAATTATTGAAAAACAGTAGAAATTGTTTAAACAACTAGTTTGAAAATTAAAATAAATACATGCATTAATTCATTGATTCTTTTATAGATTGACTGCCATTTACAATTACAATTAATTTTTTACAATGAGTATGAAATTCCATATATTTTTATTTATAATTCTACTTTTTCTATTAAATATGTATTTATGTATAAATACTTGGTTGTATTTATATAGTACATTATCACTTTATTTCAATATAAATCTTCTATGACAAATATAACTTTTTTAAATTCAATTAGATATCATAGTAATTTATTGAGCTAGAAACAATTAGCTATTATAGAAACTATTAAATCAAAATTTATTTTTTTCTAACAAACATCATAAATTTATCATTTGCTTTAAAAATATAACAAAATGTCAAGAAGTAAATAATCGGTTTTATTAACAAAATATTAATATTATATCAACTTTACTTTTCTGTGTAAAGATTAAAGGCTAATAAATTTTAAAATTGAATTATTTATTTATTTTATGTCTGAAAAATTTAAATAATTTAAAATTTAATAAAAACAAATAAAAAATGAGAAAGAAAAAATATTTTAAAAAAACTAAAATTTTTTGAGTCAAGTAAGATTACCTTAACTTAATTAATTAGGATTGATTGATTGATGACAATTTAAAATCTGAAAATAAAAGTTTTTATTTTTTGATATTTAAAACATTTTTCCTTTTATTATCATTTTTTATGGAATTCACTAAAATTATTTAGTAAAAGATTTAAATGAAATTTTTCTTTTAAAAACTTTTCTCAATTTGTAATAAAAGATTTTTTTTCTTAAGAATTTTCTAAATTATTCTGGATTAAATTGTGAGAATAAATGTTTTTCTATTATATTTATAATTTTGATTTTGCTTATTAGTGTTGTTGTATTGAAATTTTTTTGTTCATCTTCTATTAAATAGTTTTTTTGTGGGTTTATATTATATTTTTTTTAATTAGAATTAATTGGTAGAGTAGGTAGGTAATAAATAAGTAGTTACTAAACAAAAGAAGAAATGAAAATTAACCAAAAAGCCCTGCTTTCAACTATCGCAGGAGTAGCTATTGCTGCAGGAGCTGGATTATATATGTATAAAAGATAGAAAACTAAACAAAATTAAATGGAACACCTAATTTAAAAACTTTGTGAAGCTGCATTTGGTGATTTATCTTCTTTAGCAGATATCAATTAAGATGAAATTAGATCTTTGATGCAATAATCTTTTGCTTCTTATGTTGGTGCTTATTTGATTGAAAGAGAAAAGAAGGGTATTTCTTCTGAAGCATAAACTCAGTTAAAAATAAAAAATTTTTTCAAATTCATAATTGAAAGTGTTATTGATGCATTTGGAGAGTTTTTGTTTTACTCTTAGCATATAGAGAAAACAGAAAATTTAGACCATTAATTGATTTAGGATTAAGGATTTGAAAAATATAATTTTGTGATCAATCTTGTTTTTAATCTGATTTCACAATTTTTATAAGATAACAAATTATACTCTCACTTATTATCGTAAATTTTAACAGAAGGAATCGATTAGCCAACAAGGTATTTAATTGGCATCGATTCTTATGAATTATTTGAATAGAAGTTTGAAGATAAAAATCATTCTATTTTTGAATATATTTTAATACACCAATCAAGACTATTCACTGAAAATATCAACATTTTAGTCAAAATTTTAGATGAACTAGGCAATTAAGATGCACAATTTCTTCGATTTATTAATTTGAAATTTTTGAAGCTTATTAAATTTGCTATAAAATAAGTAAAATAGGAATCTGAATAAGTGGAGTTGTTCAAATTTACAGAGTTAAGCAGCGTTTGTTCTAAATTATTCTCAAGTGAAGAACTTATTACATCTATATTAATTTAAAATGAATATATATTTATTAATATAGCTAATATCATAAAAGATTGTCTTCAAAAAAGTGAATAAAATTTGGAAATAATTCAAACAAATTTATTAGTTTTAAAGAATTTGTTTTATAAAAGTGAGAATTTAAAATAATTCAACAGAATTGATGATTTAGTAGAAATTTTATTAGATTGTTAAGAAATTCTTTTTGAAAATATCTAAATTTATAATTAAAATGGCTAAGATTCTTTACAATTTTTAATATAAAACAGCAATAAAATTATTTAGAATATTAAAATTCAAAAGGATTTTTATGAATTGTTTTACAATTTAAGTTATTTTTCATGTGTTGATTTGGCTAAAAATAAAAAGAATAACCTTATTAATATCATGTGCACTAAATACAGGCAATTCGTAGAGAAATTTTATGATCAAAGCTAATAAATCAGTTAAAATATAAGAGAGGATAAAAATTACATTGGATTTTCAATATGTAATTTATTAGTTTTTATTACTTTGATCTCACAAGGACCTGATTTAAATACAAATACTCTTGTTTATACTTTAGAAAGCCATTTTTAGTATCAAAATTAATAGGAATTAGATTAATTTGTAAATAAAATAGCTTATTTATTACATACCAATTTGTTATATTATTCTTTCCATTACAATTCATAATTGTTGAATCAGTTTGAGAATTAACAAAACTCTAAATAAAATAGCAATATTAATGATTTTTGGGATTTAATTTTAAGCGCTGAATCAGGAGTTTACGATTTAAATACTTTCACATATTAACTTATCAGCTCAATTTAGTCAAGTGGGAATTAACTTATATTTAAATATGTTAGCCACTACCACTTTTAATTTAGAAATTAAGCTGTGTATGAGCAAGTGCAAATCCTTAAGCCACAAATAGTAGTGAAGAATATGATTTATGACCAAACACCTCTACTAAATATAGACTATAAATTAAACCAAATTATATCAAGAAACAATAAAGAAATTTAAGAAAAGAAATATTTTGTTATAAGACAAATAATTAGAAAAATATTATTCTAAAACAAAGATAAAAATTTTATGAAAGAAAAACTTGTAATTTCAGCAAAGTAATACATTAACAATGAGAAACTGATAGATGAAGTATTAAAAGAATTTAATTTTAAAGAAGGATAGTTAATTAAAATAAACGAATAAGACTTAGACTATTCTTATGATATTCTCAATACTGGTAGATCTCTTTATTGCTCGGATCAATCTAATATCATAAAGAGTAATGTGAATGTTCTAAAAAAGACATAATTCTTTAACTTATTTAAACATTAATAAGATTTGATAGTAAACAGTTTCACAAATGAGTACTTAATTGAGCTATTTATAGAAAAATTAGGAGTTTGCTCTATAAATGATGACCTCTGCAAGGATATGATTTTAACCTTTGACTTTTATATATATACCTGGGCTGAATTGATAGAAATGTTGTAAAACTAATAAAACCTACTTACTTAATAATAAAAACTAGCAATAACCAGCCTAAAAGAAAATATACTTTCTGAATATAGCCAATCCCTTTTAAGTCTTCACTTAAAAAATTTAATTGATAATTTTAATGGTAGATAAGAAAAGGCACCTTTAGGAGCTCAAAATCTTCAATTATTCTTTTCTAATCATGAAAAAAGTGAAAGTAAAAAGAAAATTAGTACAAGTTGAATAATAAGTAAAAAATATCAGATAAATTAATTGTAGATAAGTGCATCTAAAAACAGCTATAATTCTAAAATAAGATAAGATATTATGAAAATATTAAAGTAAATTAATTCAAAGATTAGCATTATATTTTTTTGTGTTAGGAAATATAATTCAATAAGAGATTTATCCATTTAGCAAGAAATATATTTTATAGACCAAGTAAATATTTTTATTCTAAAATATATTTTTTTTATTTTATTCTTACTTTTTGAATGATTTTTTAAAAAATTAAATCATTTAAATTGTAATTTTAATTTAAAACTTAAATTAAAACAGAATAATTAAAAATGAAATTTAAAATGGTTTCATATTTTTAATTATGTGCTTTTAATTGCAATTTATATAGCTTTTAATTTTTATTTCCTTCTATTAATTTTTAATAAAAATTAATTATTTAAAATATACAAAAATATGATTTTAAATCAATCAATTAATTTGATTTTTATTTTGGATTTTATGTTTGTTTGTTTGTTTTAGGTGTTAAATAGAGTTTACTTTTAAAAAATAAATGTTGTGTTATATATTTTTTGTTTTTTGAATTGATTTATTGATATTTTGTTTAAGAAGAAAAGAATAATGTTTTGTTTAATTAATTAAGGGGGGGTTAATCTAGTCAGAAGCACTCACACCCTCCAACCACTGGTGACTTCTCGTATAGACGATCGGTCAAACACAGCGATGGATGATCATCGTGAAACGCAAAAATACCTATTCTCCGAAGAGAATAAAATACTAATGGTTTCTGTATCCCATTTACGGATGAGAGTGTCCTTTTAATCATCCTAGATTGAGTTGTTGTCTTCAAATGAAGAAACTTACAGTAAGTAATTACTATAAGAAAGATCCTGTATAAGTACAGTCTTAAAGAAATTCTTATAGGCATGCGGTTTTGCTTTATATACCAAACTTGCTTTTCAATTTTTATGGTTTTCTCTTGAATTATTATTAACTAAATTTAGTTTTAATAAAAATAGATCTATTTCTTTACTATTTTTTTAGATTTATAATTTTTAGTCAATCTTATTGCTACAAATTCTAGCTCAAAAAAGCAAAGCTCAAATATGAGTCTAAATATTTTTATTTAACATTAGCACCAGAGTAAAAAGTTATTCTTTAAAGAGATGAAACTGTTTAGCTTTCATGATATACTCCAACATACATTTTATTGAAGTGTATGATGGAAATTTTTAAGTCATAAATATAATAATAGGTTGGATAATACAATAATGTTGAGAACAATAAATATATTTTATAAATAGATTGAAGCAGCTCTAAATAAGCAATTAAACTAGAAAAATTTAATTTTTGAGTAAAATCATACAAAATAAATATGAATTTTTAAAAACAATAGCGAAATAATTTAACTTAAATCCATATTGAAATGATTTTTTCTTTTTTTTTGTTTGATCTGCAAATATATATAACAAAATAAGCTAAAGAGCTAAAGTAGCAATAGCATTTTAGAGAAATTGCTTGAAATTTATTTTAATAATATATTTATTAAAATGTTTTAAATGAAAATCAATGTACATATTTAATACCTTAAATTGAAAAGGCTACTTAGATAAAATTACTCATTTTTATTTTGGATAAGAATATATAATATAAAAAAAATAATAAAGTAGCAATAAAGTAATATAAAAAATTAAAAATTTAATATTTTAAATTGAATAATTAAAATCTAAATTATTTTAATTGTATTTAAATGCTTTTTTTAATATCATTTTCATAATATTTAGTTTGTTCATAATAAGTAGAAGTAAGTTTAACTTTACATAATTTTAATAATAATTTAGTCTCTTATGGTAAAAATATCAATAACAAATAGCAATTTATAAATAATAATTAAATAATAAAAATAAAAATAATAAAAATAAATTAATTTATTTTATAATTATGAAGCTTATTATAAAGTCATCATATTTATTTTTCAGCTTGAAATAAAAAAAATTATTTTTAAAAATAATTTAAAATATTAAAAAATATACATTTTTAAGCTAATTATGAAATAAAATTATGAAATATTTAATAAAAAAAGAACTTTTTAACATTTAAAATAATTTGAGAATTTATTTTTTTAATGTAAAGTTAATTTTAAATTTATTTTAGTTTAATATTTTGTTTGTAAAATACAATTTTATTAAAACTTTTTCATCCAATTTATTTGCAAAGATGCTTTTGAATAATAATTTCAATGATATTAAGAATTTAATATGCGATTTGTTTTGAAATTTTTATGTCTCGAAACAATTTTTATAAGGCTGTTTATTTATTGATGATATTTGATAATTTATCATTAATTGAATTAATAATTACTTTATCTTTTATAGAAGATATAATTAATTACAATATTTTTATTAGGTAAAATGTCAGTTTAACAAATAAGTAAACTAGGTTATCTCAAAAAATATATGGATGACACCTAACCATAAAAAAAAAAGGGGAAGAAAAAAAAGAAAGTAGAGAAATAGACTGTCAAATTGATTGATGAAGAGGATTTTCTTGGGTAGAATAAGAAAAGTGATGATGAGAATGATGATATTTTAGATGATGAAAATATTCCAGTTTTTGTAGACAACCCTGAGACTTCAAAGTTGACTGCAAATCAAAAAATTTTAGCTCTTTCTAATTTATAAACGCAAGATGAAAATAAAAAGAAATAAAAAAAATAATCATCTAGTTCTTCTTCAAGTAGATCTTAGAGCTCTTCTTCATCAGGTGACTCGTCTGATGATGAAAAAGATAAAAAGAAAAAGAAAAGTAAAAAGGATAGCAAAAAAAAGAAGAAAAACACAAAGAAAAGAAGACATGACAGTGATAGCGAACCAGATGACGAAATCATGAAACTTGAAAAAGAAGCTTTGCATGAAAAGAAATTTAAGAGCTAAATGAATAAAGCATTGGGAATTGAAGGGAGTGATGATGATGGAAATAATGAATAGCCTACTTAAACAATACATCGTGATGAATTTGGTCGTAAAATAGACATAGACAAGATTATTTAGGAAAAACTTTCAAAGAAAGAGCAAATAGAAGAGTTAAAGAAAAAAAATTAGGAAAGAATAGATTAATGGGGAAAAGGTATGAAGTAAAAAGAGTAAAAACTATAATAAAAGTAAAACGAAATAAATGCAGCTAAAGAGACTTATAATGGAGATTACACAATATCAAAGCAAGCTGATATAGAATTAATGAAACAAGAAAAATTCAATGATCCTATGAGATTGCTTATATAAAAAGAAGATTAAAAAATTGCATCTGCCTAGTTAAATTTGCAAAATAAGCAATTTTGCAGACTGAAATGTAGATTCCCAGGAGTAACCAATAGATTTGACATTCCTCCTGGCCACATGTGGGATGGAGTAGATAGAGGTAATGGTGCTGAAAAAAGATATTTCAATATGGTTAATTAAAAAAAAGATAGAGCCAATAAGGCTCATGAAATGGCTACACTTGATCTATGAAAAAATACTTTATCTAAATATAAATTATCAGTAATAGATTTATTGCTTTTATGTAGAGTAAGCAATCTATCTATTATCTATCGAAAAAACAACATAAATAAGTATTAATAATTAATTTATAATATCTTAAATAAAAAATAAATAAGTTAATCAATTTTAAAAACATTATTTATTTACTATCTGTAATTATTTCAATTAATAGAACAATTTAAACCAAACAATAAATAAGTTATTAGTAATTAATTATACACATATACAAATACCTACCTGCTATATTTTTTAGATTTAGTTTAATAATATATTCTTATAAAACTATTTATTCATTTTTATTTACTATTTTTATTAAATATTTTAAATAATTGTAAGTAAACTTTGTATTTATTTCTCATAAATAAACAAAAATTTGTTATTAATTACATTTAACTTCATACAAATAATTTCAATTTTTTAAGTTAAAAGTTTATTAGATATTTATTAGAATATGAATGAGTTGATTAATTTTATTATAATTATTACTAACTTATTATTTTAAATATAATTATAGAGATTATCAAAAAAAACGAATACTTCTCTTAACTAATCTCTTTAATTTGAGACTTTTACTCTTTATTTGATCTGTCATAACAAAAATTGGATTGCAACTATAATAAATAATTTTAAGAAAATTAAGTTAAATTCTAGTTTTATTGAAGAAGCCTTGAAAATTTTTTAAAGTTCTTAAATTAAAGTGATTAAAAAATAGTAATTAATTTATATTCGTGATAACTTAAAATTTAGATATTAATAAACAGTTTATTACCATAAATCTATGTGAAGTGATTATAGATACTAAAACTTAATTAGACTAGAACCAATAGTAGATACATCATTAATTTCATTGTAGCTTAAAATTTATAATAAAATATTTTACAAATTTATTTTACTTAAATAAAAAAAATTTATGTTAATCCTAAAAAATGATTAAATCTAATAAAAATAGAATCAAATAAATAATAAATGAGTATACTTTAAACAAAGAACCAAATTTTATAGAGGTTTACAGCTTGATAAAGCAGAAATTAAACCTGATGCAGCCTCACTTTTCATACCTATACCTCTATCAATTAAATAAAAATGTTCATTGTTATTAAACATATTTCAATCAAGAAAAATTAAAGAATTTATAATTAAAATCTTGAATTATAAATGATAAACTAAAATTTTTAAATTTATTTTTATTTATATTTATAAATTAATTATTAGAAATAACTTATTTGTTTATCATATAAAGAGATCTTTAAACTAAATTTATTATATCTTTTGCTAAATTTTATTTTAGTAGTTGAGAGATAAAATATTTAATTAAAAATAATTAAAATCTTCTAATTTGTTAATATTTTTTTTAAATTGATATGTTTTAAATTCAAAAGCTTTAAAAACAAAAAAATACTAAAAAATAAATTAAATTAATTTTTAACTCTGCCCAAAATCTTTAAAAAGTGTTTTCTAACTTATTTTATTCATATTCAAATTATTAGTTTTAAAATATACTGTAAATGCTCATTAATTAAGGCATTCCTTAAGTATCTTTTTTGCTCAAAAAAAAGTGCAAAAAAAAAATTATTTTTTAAGAGTTTTTCTTGCAAAAATTAAAGTGGGTTGATAATGGAAGCATTAAGGTAAGGTAAATTTTAAAAAAAATTTTTTAAATAATAAGCTTTACGTCATGCTGAGATAAAGTGATTTTAATTGAGTACAATTCGCTAAATAGGAACCAAAATCTATTATGTCTTCTTAATTAATAATATCCCAACTATTTTTATTCAATAAAATAGTATTATTGAATTTATAAGTAACAAAATAATTAATTTAAAAAATAAATACAAAATAAGATAATTTAATTTGATGTAAATAAATATCAAATTTATTTTTTATTTGCTTTGCTTTTTTAAATTGTTTAGTCTTTGATTTATAATTTGAATTAAAACAATTAAAACAGATAAATAAAATGTATAAATAAATGTCTAAATAATTTGAATGAATGAATATCTTTTTTACCCAACGTAGAGATCCAGGATTTAGAATTTGCCTCTAGATAGAGATTAGCCAAAATATGCTAAACTTTTTGATTTATACTGATTTGAACTGTTTAGTATAAATTTATTTATTTACATATTAACATGATTTATAAATAGTTAAAATAAAATTTAATAATAGTAATATCCAAACAGTTTTTAATTTTAAATGAGTATTTCATTTATAAATTTTTAAATTTAATTTATTCATAATGAATACAAAAAAAAGAATGTATTTTAGTAAAAACTTCTCTAGATAGATAAGATTTTTTATATATAATTAAATGATATATCTATACTTTATTAAAAATTAACTATTTGGTTGATAATTATTTTAATATTTTTTAAATTTAAATCAGATTTTTGAATATATATTTAATAACTAAGTAGACAATTTTACGTAACTGAGAGTGTCAGTTTCTTGATACTAATGCAATCTGCAATACCAGAACCAATATCCAATAAGCCTTAATCACCGAAATTATTGTTACTTTTTTTATAATAAAGAATGTACTTAGTAAATTAATGGTATTATTTATTTAGTAGTTTCCCATAAAATTTAAAACATAAAAACATAAATTAATATTTAATTTTTTACCTATTTGTAAAAGTTAAATCTATAAGATTCGTGCAACCTTACAAAGCAGAACTAAAACCTTTTATTCCTTCAAATCCAATTTAATTTGAGCTTTAAATTTTAATTATTTAATATTTCATTTTTATGGTGTTAAAATGATTATTATTTTTAAATGAGATTTTCTGGCTTAAATTTTGTTTTTGTTTTTTAAATTTTCTAAAGTAAAACTAAAATTAAATTAAAGAATTGAGATTTACTTCAAGCATATATTCAAAATAGAGATATTTTTAAGGTTTTTTAAAGCTAAACCTAAATTCTAGACATTTTAATTTCCAATTTTGTTGTCGCTTTTAATAAATTTTATATTTAAATATTTAATTAAACATATTCAAATAAATTTTTCGTAAGAATTTATTTTTGATATTTTAGAAAAAAAATTAATAAACAATTGTTAATTAAAAGATTAAATTTATTTTTTATAATTTAAATCTAATTTTATTATCAATCTTATTTTTAATAATGAAGTTACTCCAAAGACAATATCAAACTTTAGAGATTAATACACTTTGCTAAAGAACTGCCTAAATTTGAAGCTCCTTATTCTCCAATTTTGTTATTGCTTTTGTTCAATTCATAAAATTTATCAAATTAAAAAAATATATTTAAAAGTGAAAAATCTATTTGCTCTAAATTCGATTAATAAATTTAAAAATAAAATCTAATTTATAATGAAATTTTTGTTAAAATTTGAGAAAAGTGAATAATTAATTAACTAAAAATGAAATAGAATATTTACCTTAAGTCTAAGACTAAATGAGTAAGATAAGTGCATTTTTCTATTGCAGAAAACAGGCAAGAGACTTTTTCATCTCCTAGTTTTTACCATCTATTATTACATTTTATGTTGTAATTTATATAATTTAAAAAAAATTAAGATTGAATAATTCTATATCAATCAATTAATAAAACATTATTTTCTTCTACCTGAACTCAATATTGATTTTCTTATGAGATGAAAATGAAGAGCTTAAAAACTTTTTTTTTAATAAAATCTAATATATTTGTGTTAATTAAAGAGGAAAACAATTTACTTCATCTAAATTGTAAAATGTAATTTCTTCTTAAGCCATTTATTTTTTTATCTTTCTTAGATTATTAATTTTTGAGATTAGATAGATAGTTAGTTTTAACTTCAAAACAAATAATATTTAAAACAACTTTATTAATTTAATTAATTAATTATATTCATTGATTTATTAATTAAGATATTTAGAATAGATAGATGAATAGAAAAATCTGAATAATTAGATATATTTTGAAATCTCAAATTAAATATTATCAAAAAATAAGTTTCATAAAATTGTTCATAAATTATTTGCTATTTATTAAATATTCCCTTTCATTATTTTAACCTCTTTTTAAACTCTATTTTTGAGAAGTAAAATTAATTTATTATACAAAATTTTTGAAAAATTAGGGAGGTCTTTTAATAAATAAAAAATGACTTAAAAATTTAGAAATGTTTAAATAAAGAGTTTTTTTACATCAATTATAATTAAATGTTAATAATGAGAATCAAAACTCTACAGTATATAATTTTTATTTATTTAGTTTGTTTTAATTAATTATTTATGGTCTTATAAACCGCTTTTTTACCTCTACTTTAAATTATTCTATCAAATGAAGATTTTATGAATTAGTCTTATTTATTATATTAAATGAATTTAAATATATTAATCATTTATTTTTATTTAAATTTAATTTATTCTTAGCTTCTTGTTTTATTTTTTTATTTACATTAAATCATACTCAAAATGGAATATTAAAACTTTCTTAAACAAAAAAATACTGAATAAATAAATAAAACAATATGAAGATTTTATAAAACCATTTTTAATTACTGAAAAAATTGATTAAAACATTATAAGTATTAATTAAAAATTGATATCTATCTAATTTTGAAATATTGTATTTAATTAATTAATTAGTTAATATTGATATAAAATTTTATCAAAATAAATTATTTATTAAAACATTTTTAATTTACTTTTGATTTTAATAAAAATTATATAAATCTTAGTTATTTAATATATTTTCTTTGATTAAAACATCCTCCTTAGTTTCTTAATTTTGGTTGCTTAGCTTTTGGTTACTTTCTTTAGATGGACTAATTCCATAGCCCTTTTTAGATATTTTGAAGGCTTTGCACCTCGGTTTTACTCCATTATATGCAAAATCTGGGTCTTTTTCAAACTATAACTTTATATTAAATGACTTTTCTAATGTTTTTTCTATCCACATTGTATTGTATGGGGATTAGAATTTTATTTTTTCTCTAATTAGTCTTGTAGGAGATATTTCCTAAGAGTTTTTATCATTTTGAAATATATCTGAAATTTTAATGTTTCCTTGCTTTTTTTATCTTAAATTAGAGTAATTTAGTTACCTATTGCTTTGACTTGATTACCTTTATTAAAATAGTAAATTATATTTTAATTTAGATTAACCTTTTAGGATTAATTTTATAAAATTTAAAATACTCTCTTTAACTTTTCAGGATCAGGTTGAGACTATTTTTTCTTGACTTGACAGAACCTAAAGAAAATTTAATCTATAAAAAGGAGATTTTAAAATTTAATGATTACATCTTGCTGAGTTATATGACTTAATTGAGTTGATTGAAAAGTGACTTTTTCTCTCAGGAGAGGCATTTTAAATAGTTTAATTTATTTTTATATTATAGGAAAAGAGCAAGCTCGACTAGTTTAAACTTTACTCTTCTTTTTCACTTTCTTTCTCGCACTTTTAATAATCACTTTAAGCCACAGATGAAACGCGTTAGGTATTTTGATTCTACTATTCATAAAGTTCTTAAATTTAAACTTGATTAAAATTCTACGGTGGGTTATTGAACAAAATATTGACATAAAAATTTTAGAAATCCTCAGCTTCATTTTGCTCAATATAAAATTCAAGAGCATTGCCCAGCAAGCTCTATTCTCCTTAGCAACTGTTTTGCATTGAATATATCTAATCCCTATTTGGCTTTAATTAATTTAGTAATAATTTGAGATAATAAATATGTTAAATTAAAATATCTAATTAATATCTATTTATCAATATTTTTTGTTTCTTATTAGATTACTTATTGCAACTTTAATAAATCCATAAAATTTCATTTTTGCGTTAAAAAACAAAACAAAAATATTAGCCAATCAATAAATATATCACAACGCTGACAGTAAATCAGATTTTTGAAGAAAGTATTCACTAAATATCCATTCATTAAATTTTTCGATTTTTAATTTATTTAGCAGCTCTATTCTTCCATTAAAAAATATTGTTTTTTAAGATATTCATTTATGCTAATTAAATTTAATTGACATTTGCTTGTTTGATCACAATTATAAATTTATCTAAGAATTTTTAATATATTTATCACTAAATATAGATAAAAATTAATGAAGTTATAAATAACTTTTTTCAAACAAAAAAGAGTAATTATTGTATTTTTTCAAAGAAAATATTTTAATTTCAAATTTTGAAAAAAAATAAAATTTATTTTAAAAATCTTAATAAATTACAAAATAAATAGAATGCTAAATTAATCAATTTTAAATATTATGTCAATATAGTTGGATTAAATTATAAATTATGATGAATTGATTATTTAAATATTTTTATCTTCTTCATTCAGCTTTTTCTAATTTTAATCTTTTTTGAAGTTCAATTTTTCTTTATCTTCTTTCTTTGTATTTGTTAAACATCTTTTATAAAACTACTGATAAGAAAATTGTTAAAGAAACACCCATCAATTCTTGCTTGTGAGGACAGACACCATCTCTTATTGCATGATTACCTGTGCTTTCGCTATTTGGGTCAAAGTCTCTACAGACAACTAAACTAACGAAAATCATTAACATAGCAGAAAACCCAAATATTTCTTTAAGCTTGAATTTGGCTAGACTGTTTTTATATAAATCAAAATTTATATATTTTTGTTGCAAAATATTCTAAAAAGTTAAATAATTAATAAAAAAATAAATATTTTATTTTACTCGATAACATTTGGATCAGAACCTTTTTTATTGAATATAACAAATTTATAGGTACTGTTAATGTTAGGAATGATTCCAGTAAAGTTCATTTCAACTTCCAAATATTAACTGTATTTTTGATCTTAAGTAAGCAAGACATCTAACTTTCTTCCCATAAAGCAGTGATAATAAGAAGTGCTGCTATAGATTGCTAAGTGATTTTTTATTTTTTAATGGAATTCTTCTTCGAACTTAGATCCTTTCATGCCATATTCTTTTTGGTGCTTCAAGTAATACAATGCAATATATTCAACTATTTTATTAACTGCATCTTTTCCTTATTCTGTCTCAAATCCTTTCTAATTAACTACCTTCATTTTGCTAAGCATTAAGTCTAACCTTATATTATTAAGATGAAAATAAGCAATTTAATACTTAAATCTAAAATAAATTCTAAAATATTGAAAAATCTTTTACTTATCCTTATAAGTCTCAGGTTCGATGTATTCCAATTTCAATGCTTTGGGAACTTCGAGATGCTTTGGTTTATAAATGAAGATACAAACATCTCCTAACAAAAGCATTAATAATCCATTAAGTTTTTACCTATTTATAATAAAATCAAAATTAGCTACAGAATAAATTAGTTGAATTTTTTTAGCTTAAAAAAATCGTTTAATTAATTACTGTAAGTAATAAGAGACATCGGTAGCTACTACAATAATATATTCCTATTTAATTTCATCGTTGGTGAAATCCTCGAAGACTTTTTCTAATAATTTAATAAGAATTATAAATATGGTTTGCTTTTGTGAATTGATTACTTACTGATTACTTTAACTCTCTTTTCAGCTATCATATTTTCGGTAATTTAAGACTCGATAATATCTTTGAAATACCTATATTCATATTCTTTTAAATCGCATCTAATAATATCTCTTGCATAGATTGTAACAGGCTTTGATTTGTCTTTGCTTGCTGCTTATGTTTACATTTTATTGATCAATCCTTCCTATATATATTTTTTTTGATTTATCTTTAGATATTTTTAATTAACTATTTGGATATTTTTTAGATAAATTTAAAATTTAACTTCTTTTCTAATTATTAATATTTATTTGATTACTATATGTAATACCCGTGTCTTTAATTCATTTAATTAACAATCTAGAAAGATTTATTATCATTCATATCTTAGCAACTATCCTTTAGTACTACTTAAAATTCAACTTTTTATTTGTTCTAATTTTAACCAGAAAGTATTTAAAACTATTAATTTGTTTAAGTAAGCTATTATCAATAGCAAAACAAGCATTCAAATTATAATTTCTTTTTTGATCTATGCTCATGTAATTCTATTTCTAAATTTAATTCAAAAATAAATAAATAAACAAATATAATTATTTTTCAATACCAAATTTTTTTTAAGTTCATCTTAAAATTAAGGTTTTTATAAAAAATAAGCTTTTATATATAAAAATAATTTTAGAATTAATCTGCTATTATATTTAAATAATTTGATTATAATCAAATGATATTTTTATAGGTTCTTTTAAAAGATGAGTAATAATTGTTGTGATTAATAATATATTTTTATAGGGTAAAATTATTTATTATTTAAAAAGAAATTATTTTTATTAATGAAAAAATTATTTTTTTTAAACCCAAAAATATGAAAATTATTTCAGGATTATTCAATTTTTTAATACTTAAATAAAAATTTAAAAACTATATTATTTCCTTTTGTTGAGCCTTTTATGATGAAAAAATGGTCTTTTTAAGTTGTTATAATTGTTTGCTGTAAAATTAAATTTTATATTATTTATGTATTTAAGTTATGAGGATTGCTATAAATAGTTTTTTAACTTTGAAATTTTATTCTCAACTTAATAGAGCGATTATTTAATCTTTAGAAATTGCTTATATTTGAATATAATTTTCCATTTACTTAGTTTTTATTTATTTAATTTTAGAAATTCACTTGATATTAAATTTCTTTTTCAATTAATAATAAAAATTTAGTAATATTGATATATTTATACTAATTATATAGAAACGAATGATTAAAGAAAATTTAAAGTAAAAGATAATTATAGATAGATAAGAGCATGTATGTATGTAGTAAAAACTTTTATATAATTTGTATTAAATGATTATATTGGTAATAATAATAATAATAATTAGTTATAAAATATTTTTCAATTTATTATATTATTAATATGAATGAATGACTTTGTTCGTTTCTATTTGGCAAACAGTTGAGTGCTTTTTTGCGAAACATATACCATCACGAATCAATCAATCAATTAGCTTGAGAGCAAAAGAAGTTGTTTTAAATTTTAGATATTTATTTTATAGCCTTTTGGTTTATTGAGAGATCTAGGATAGACTGATAGATAAATAGATTGATAAAATACTTAGGAATGGGTTGATAAATTAAGTAAGTATATATGTATGTAGGTATGAATGAATGAATAGATATTATTTTTAACTTTAAAAAAATGAAGATTTTTCTCAAATTCCAAGATTTTTCAAGTTATTTCTGATTTGATCTGATTTTTTATCTATTTTTTTATATAAAAATTTAGATTTTCATTACAATAAAAAAATTTATTTTACTTGTTCCATCATCATTTTTCTTGGCTTCTTCTTCTTATACTTCATCTGTTACTTTTTTGAAATTGGATGCGATGCTGCCGAAACCACTTTAAGGAGAACCGAATTAGCTTGCTCTCTTTACTTGAGGACTAAATATACTGCTTCTATTCTTATCAGCCATGGAAGAAATTTATCTATCGTTTGCGAATTAAACACTAGGAGAGTCAAAGCCATCATTTGAAATGGCTTCAGTTCTACCTGTTAAAACGGGAGTGTTGGGCATTTTGAAAGAACCGTGGTCATCTTGCATGTTTTTCATGGCTCTTGTGGGCATAATTTGAGGAGAAGGCATGGGAGAGTCCTTGTTAGTTGAACCCAATCTTTATCTGTGTCTATTTTAAAGAAAATTAATTAATTAAAAATATTTTTAGGCAAAAGTTTTAGCATTTATTTATATAAAATTCTATTTATTTCATTATTTGCTTAAAATATTCTTAAATATTTTAGAAAAAATTTGATATATATTAAAATTTCTGCTATTTTAATTTAAAAGCTTGAACTTAAATGCTAATTTGGTGATAGCTATCTATTTATTAAATAATTTACTCTTCTTAGAGTTATTTCATCTTTTGGGCTTCGGTTAATTGAGGGCTTTCAATTTCCATTTATTCACCTTTCTTTTAGGTAAAGAATTGATGTTGTAAAGCTTTTTTGGCAGTAATTCTTGTCTTTGGGTCATTGTCTAACATTTTCTTCAATAAATCATAAGCTTTTGAGATTAAAAAAATTGTTATTATTATTTTTATTAAATGCTAGAATGTCAAAAAATATTTTGAATCAAATAGTATTTAAAAAAAAAAACAAGGTATACCTGGGAGAGGTAACTTGAGGTATTCAGTTCCTTCGAAACTAATATTTGAAGCTCTATTTTGTGCCAATATTTCATTGTAGTTCTTTCCATTGAAAGGGGTTCTACCCAATAAACTATTTATTATTTCATAAAGAAAATTGAGAATAAATTTACTAGTTGAATATTTTTATTGTAAATAAAAAATTTAATGAATGCTTACAGGATGTGGAAAATTAAACCTAGAGAGAAAATATCACAAATAACATCATATTTAGTCTTGAGATCTTTGATGTTTATAACTTCAGGGGCAACAAAACCAGGAGTACCGCATCTGACAAACATGAATTCTTCAATATCTGCTCTTGTGGCAAGACCCAAGTCTACAATAGCTAAGTCTAAGGAATCTGCAGTTTTAAAGATAAGGTTTTCGGGTTTCAAATCTCTATGCATAATGTTCTTTGCATGCATTTCAGCAATACCTTCAAGAAGACCTTTCATAATATATTTTGATTCTTCTACTGTAAATCTTTTTTTATTGATAATATTACAATTAGAATTTATAAGATTCAGTAATTTAAAAAGTTAATATGCTTTTTTTTTTTTGCTTATTATTAATACTAACTTGACAATAAAGTGCTTAATAATAAATCAAATAAAAATAGAAAAAAAACAAAATTTGTATTCAAGAAGTCTATCTAAATTAGATAAACGCCAATACACATTGATTTAAATAAAAAAATACTATTATATTTTAAAAATATTTTAAAATTTACTTGTATTTTGCTTTTATTTTGTCATAAAGCTAACCTCCTTCCAAGAGGTCGAGGATCATGTATAAAGAATTTTCAGTTTCAAAAACTTCATGCAAACGAATGATATTTTTGTGATTCAAAGCTCTCATCAATTCAATTTCATTAATCAATGCTTCCTAAAGAAAAATAAAAATATAGTTAAAAATATATTTTTTGAATGTAATTAGTTGCATTTTTAATATTGTTGGGTATTTTATGCATTTTATAAAGCCTATTTGAAGTAGCACAGCATTATCGTTTGATTTTATTTTGGACAAGTGACATCATTAAATAAACTTTGCAAAAAATATCAGAGTTATTCCAATGAGCATAAAATAAATTAAAGCATTTATTGGTATTTTAGCTAATAATAAGTTAATTATTCTTACCTTGCCATTTTCTTAGTTGTATGCTGCTTCTTTGGAGAAAGCCTTTACTGCAAATTGCTTGCTGTCTTCAAGTCTTTCTGTTAAGTAGACCTAAGTTTAAAATTTTTATTTATTTTAAAGAGTTCATTAATTTCCAAATAAAATAGAATTGTTTAAAATAGTAATGGAAAATCTCTAACTTTTGAGGTTAATTTGAGTGATTTTCGTTCTCAAAATCGCTAAATTGAAATATGAGATTCCATGAAATTGATAAAAGAATAATTAAAAATTATGAATAAAAATATTTCATACACTTGCGAAATTTCCTTTGCCAATTTTCTTATGTGCTTTAAAGAGCTCGTGGAAACCTCTTTAGTTGATTTTATTTCTTAATATGTCTCTCCACTTGAGGATAAGGGCCTCATCATTAGTAGTTATTTCGGTTTTAGCATTGAGTTTATCTAATCTCAAACCCTTGGGCTATCCAATAATTGAGCTAGGAGAATTATCCTTTTTGTCAGTCTTTTGACGAATTACTTCAAAGTGCAAGTCGAAATCAATTTTAATATAACCTTTGGGATGATCAGAGTTTTTTTCCTATGAATAAAAAATATTTTTAATGAGTTAGAAAAGAAGTTTTGATTATTTTTCATAACTTAGTTGACTTTATTTAATCTTAATAATTGAGAACTAATTAGCTTTAAAAAAATAGCATATCGATAAATCATCATTAAAATATTTGATTATTATTATTTCAACTTTAAAGGATTGCAGATTTCCTAAGCTCACTCATAAACATAATGAGAGAAACAGCAATCCTTGCCAGAAGAGATAAAAATTTAAGTATAGTTTGGGGTTACTGAAAATAGATTAAAGGCAAATTTTATTTGTAAAAAAAATAAATGAGGTATTTATTACATCGAAATAGTAAATGAAGTTATCATATAGCTTGAAATAGCGCTTGCCACTCATATAATTTCCTTTTTTAGAGAAGTAGCCCTCTGCTAAGACGGGTTCTTTGGGAAGCTAGGCACCCTTATTGACTTTAATCCAAAATCCTTTATCAGACATTGCTTTGTTTTATAATTAATGATTATTTATTGAATTTATTTGCTATTTGATTTTTTGAGTAAATTTTGATTAATTAATTTCTTATTAATTTTTTAATTATTCGTAATAATTAATCTTGGTTTTGATCAAGTCTTTATTTTATTACTCAAATTTTATTTTAGAGATTTAAAAAAGACGCAAATTAATTAATTGCTTTTTTTTTTTCGTTTTAAAACAAACTTTGTTAGATAGAAACAAATAAACAAACAAACAAAAGACTTTATCATTAATCAGTCAATAAATTCATGTATATTTCTTTATTATTTCTTATTATTTATCTATCTATCTATTTATTTATTTATCAATGCAGGTAGTATGATTTTGTGAATCGTTGATGAATTGACAAGTTTATTTGTGACTGCAAATATAACCAATAATTATATTAATTTCTTTATTTATTTATTTTTCAATAGCTCATTTAATCATCTTGAAGATTCATACAGCCTATAATCTATAATTGATAAATAGATAGATTGATTCTTACCTACATACTACTCACGATTATAATTCTTCACTACTAATATCATATTTTTTAAGATCTCTTAGCATTCTTTTTATAATTAGTTATATACTTTATTTGCTTTTCATTTTCCGCCACAAAAAAAATAAACTCAATTAATTCTCATCAATCATTCATTCTTTTTCCAACTTTAAAATAACTTATCAAAATATAAAATTTCAAGCATAAAAGTTTTCAATCAAATATTTCTGTTTTGTTTAAAAAATACTGAATAATTCAATAATATTTTAATAAATCAACGCTTTAACTTAATTACATAAAGATAACAATCAATATGGACTTTAATAGTAGAAAGCAGCTATTCTAACAAATATACCAAAAATTTCAATCTAAAAAACCCAATGTTTAACTATTTTCTCTATAATTCTTTATTGTAATCAGATTAGAACTCACTTCTCAAAATTTTTGTAATCTTAATTGATCAATTTAATTTGATCGATGATATTCGAGCTTTCAAATTTTGATAAAAAATACTAAGATTGCTTACTCCTAGTTACCAATATAGCTAAATATTAATATTAAATATTAGAGGATTAATACTTAATGAATAGTTTTTTGAATTTAAAAACATGTTTGATGTAATTTTAAGTTCATAATGTAACAAAGTATTTGTAAATCTAATTTTAATAAAACACATATAACAAATAATATTCACATTATTTCAAATGTGCTAAGAATAATCCCTTTTCAAATTATAAAATCTGAAATAAAATTAATTCTAGATACCCTCTTTTGATTATTCAAGCCATTATTAAATATGTTTAAAAAGCTAATGTAAAAAAGCAAAATTTAAAAATGTGAATGTTAGTATAAACATAAAACAACCAAATTATTTATTCATTTTAATATAAATATAATTTTAAAAAGTAAAAATATCAACGCCAATTACATTTTTAGTCTAGATTTGTTTTTGTTTTTAGCAGCTTGACTAAAAATACTTAGAACATGTTTTATTTAAATTTTAAATCTCTGTTTACAGTGTAAAAATTTTGTTAAATATTTCTCCTAGAACTAAATAAATTTACAATACAATTATTTTTTCGAATAGAAATATCGATGAATAACATTTTTTATGCTTGAAAGAAATACAATTCATATAAATATCAAAGATTCTACTTATTACTATATCTATTTCAAATCTTTATTATTTATATCATAAACTAACTGAACATCTAATTTTCTATCTTTAGAAAAAAAATTACATTTATTTCATGCGGAAATATTTCTATAAGTAAATAAATAGAAAAATACTTTTTATAGTTTTTAAAATTTTAATATTTCTCAGTTATACTCTTTCTTATTCAATTATTCAAAGAAGGTTAATTGCTAAAATAATTATTAATATATTAATTTTTTATTCTAAAATAAATAATAATTATAAAAGAAAGAAAATCTTACTTGAAATTAAATTTATTACCTTATCTATTTTTACATTAATTTTTTATTTTAAATTTTTTAGAAATGAAAGTATTTTTTTAAAACCAAATGTAATAAGTAAGATTCTTAATAAATTAAATAATCAAAAGGCATGAATAAACTAACGAAATAACTTAATCATCTAAATTTTCTATTAAAGAATAAAGTAATCAATCTCTCATAATTTTTAAACTAAAAATTAATACAATTAAGAATAAAATTAAATATATCAAATTATTTATTGGTTTATGTTACAGTTTAAAAATACATGTGGAAATTTTAAATGTATACTAATTAAAAATTAGTTTACTTTAAAAGATTTTTGAATATTATATTAATATAAAATTATAAAAATAAGAAGAATTAAGTCAACTATTTTTGCTGATAATCAATACCCAAAAGTATTCCTTTCATTTTAAAAATAACCTTACTTTTAATAATGAATAGATTTTAGTGATTTGAATTATCAAAAAATAAAATTTTCTAGAATCTTTAATTTATATAATCAGAAAAAGAAGTTAAGGACAAACCTAATCAAATTACATTTGACAATTATTTTGAAAAGTATTTTCCTTAATTTTCTTATTGTTTATTTTATAAGTAATGAAAAATGATATTAATAATTTGCTTTCTTTAAAATAATTTTAAATTTTTGATTTACATAAATTGTGTTTGTTAAATCTAATTATGTATGAAAATTTATTCATTCCTATTGTTTTATTTAAAATAAATAAATTTAGTTATTTAAAAAATATATAATCATATTTATTTTACTATTTTTGACTTTAAATTACTTTTTTTATTTAATATCTATTTTATGAAAAATCCAAACTTTTTTCAATTTAATAACATAATGCTATTTTTTATAGTGATTTCTTAAATTGATGAATATGCATTTCTAGGAATAATTCTCTCTCAACAAAACAGTATAAAGCATCCTATAGATAAAATTTAACGTAGATGATTACATATATCTGTGTACTTTTAATATTTAACTTAATCAATAATTTAAATTTATTTTACTTATTCTTAAATAAAAATAATTTATAAAAAATTTAAATTTAATATTAAATAAGATTTTTATTTAAATATTTCTTTTGATTTTAACTTATCAATTATGTATTAATATATCCAATTACAATATAAAATTTTTATCATCAAAATGTTAAAAACTATCATTTAATTTTAATTTTAAAAATATATTTTTAATCCCATTTTTTTAAAATTCCTAAATTATAATTGTAGATTATTATTTTTTATAATTTTCTTTTATAATATTTGTAGCAAATCAATAATATTAATTAATGTTTATTTAAAAAAGATTTTTGATTGTTACTGTTACCAGATAATTAATTTCCTATAGATCTTTTCATCCATAAAATGGTATGATCTCTTTTTAAATTTATAAGCCTAGTAGACTTTCTTTGTATTTATATTCCAGTGAAAAATATCCTTTATAAAATTTTTACTTGCTAATAAAATTATAGTTACAAACTCAATACTTTTTCTTTGATCAAATTAAAAAATAATTAAAAAAATTAGCAGACAGTTGAATTATTGAAAAAATTATTTTCATATACTAGTTCATTTGAAAGGTCTTTATTACTTTGATTTTTAAGCAAATTCTATTTTGATTTCAATAAAGTTTTTGTATTCTAATTTGTTTTGCATAATATTAGATCTTTTTACCTTGGATTACACACAACTTTATTTTCTATTCATTCATGTATGTTAGAATATTTGAAGATATATTAGAACTGTAAATAAGTGTAGCTTAATTTTCTTTATTAATATTTACTTATCCAAGTAGAGTTATATTATCAATGTTGTAAAGTTGGTATATAATATCTTTTAAAATTAAAATAATAGTTAAAATGGTCTATCTTGCATCTTTACTTATTGTGAAATTAAAAAGAAGATTAGGTTATGCATTTTATTTTCCTTCATTGATAGTAAAACTGATACATCTTATGGCACATTATATTGTTTTTTCAAATAAGTTTAATATTTAAAATAATCACTGGTTGATATTAAATTTCTACAACTCCAACTATATTTATTCCTTTATTAGAGTTACTTTTCAGCCCATAATCTCTATCTATACCTGTTATAGTAATTTTACTCTAATAGCTGACATGTAAGAAGACAAATATTTGGAGAAAAATCGTATTAAATTTTTTTACAATTTTAAAATAATCAATTTATAATCTAATTTAAATAAAAATTTTAAAGTTTATATAAATAAAATAATAATTATATACTTTAATCTCTCACTTAATTATGTTATTTATATAAAAAATCTTACAAAAAAAATAATGGACCTTTAATTTAATTAAATTTTTAAAAACTAAACCCTTTTTTTTATAATTGAATATAGCTTTTTTTATGGTGAATAAATGTTTGATTTCTTATAAATTGTACTTTCTAAGAATAATTATCCCAGTTTTATTTTCTGTTTATTACTTCAATATTAAAAATTTTGGTTAGAATATTATAAATGCTGTTTACAGATAATAGAAATTAAAGCTTTAGATTTAATTTATTTACAGATTTTCTTGAATTTTTTAAACTGATAGAAAACTCTTGATCCATAGAGATACTGATACTCTAACTTTGTTTATAAAAATCCTTCAGTAATCAGCAGACTATAATTCATTTGCTATTGATGAATTAATTTTCAAGAAATTTATGCTGCTCAAGATCAGATTAAACTTTATGAAATTCTGCTACAAATTATAGATAAGATCAATTTAAAATACCTATCATATATTTATTGTTGAGAAGGCTAACGATAGTTAAAATTAATAAAATTATTTTCAAAAATCATTAAAATAAATATTATCTAACGCCTTTTTGTTGTGACACAAATACTTAAATTGACTTTTAAGAGATTTTAAATTCTTGACAGGAAAAAGAATAAAAAATAAAAATGTTTGTGGAATTAATTTTAAAAAAACAAATAAAATTTTTATATAGATAGATGTATATACAAAGAGGATAACTCTTAAATTTATTTAAAAATTTTTGTAGGCTTATATGATGTAAAAATCA